TAAATTTATCATGCATCTGTTTGAATTGTAAGGTTGTTCCTTCTACTACCATACAGCTTGTTATAAGTGTAAAATTTCAGAGGTAGGGAAGAAGAATATTTACTAGGGATTGAGCCGGGGATTTTCCCATGCAAAATGTATATTATTGAATCTTAAATAAACAAGACTATTTACAGTTTTAAGTATGTTTTCCATGCTATGACATAAAAATAGTATTGCATGGTGAATATCAAAGAATGAGAACGTTAAGGGAGACACCAAGATAGTAATAAAACTTGAAGAGAACTTTATTAGAAAATTGTTCCTGAATGTACAGCATCAGGAGGGTACTACCCCAAACATCAGGTGAACCCAAATGGTAGGATTCCAGAACTCTACTCTTGAGTATGTTGGTTAAAAGAGCACATCTTAAAGTATTTTTCCCCACTCTTCTGCACTTTGGAATGTTTATCTCTGTTGAGATAATTAAGCAAAAGGAAATTAATATACCGTACTTTTTTGGAGTATAGGACACACTCCCCCGCTTAAAAGAGGGTAAAAATTTGGCTGTCTTATACACTGAATGTATACCTGCCGGCCATCACACTGGCCTCTGCCTTCCAGCAATGTGCCTCCTTGCAGCAAACAACCTGCTTGTTTTAGCTTCAGCACAGCCTGATTAACACAAGCAGCTGATTATCGGTTGAATCGGCCTCCCGACCATCAGCTGTTTCAGGCTGCAGGAATTGCTGTTTCCGCCTCCGCACACCCCATTTTCAGCCTCTGCATCCCATTTTTGGCCTCTGCATGCCAAAAAGACAACCGGAGCGCCCAAAAGACAATCGGCTGCTTGTGCTAATCAGGCTGTGCTGAAACTGAAATGAGCTGTTTGCTGCAAGGAGGCAAATTGCTGGGAGGCAGAGGCAGATTTTTTTTTTCTTGTTTTCCTCCCCAAAAGCTAGGTGTGTCTTATACTTTGGAGCGTCTTATACTCCAAAAAATATGGTATGTATTTACATTCATTGGAGCGCATTGGATTTATAAAAAAGTAAAAGGTACACACAGTGGGGAAGTAGACATGGAAAGCCATGCCTACTGCAGCTCAGTGGAAATACACATGGAAAAAAATACTAGTGCAGCTCAGGGTGGCAAACAAAAGTTTTTGTTGTGAAATTGATCAGGATTTTGTCAATATCAGTCAGCAACTGCCAGCAGAGGATTCAAATCAGCTAATTAAGGTCATTTGTTAACTTCCAGCTAGCACTCTAGGAAAGTGCTGTGCTGCAGGAAAAAAAATCAACTGAGGAAAAGATTGTTTAGTCAACCTCTTTGCCCCGCACCTGACAAGATGAAGTCCTAATGGCTATATTGCTGAACCATATGGCTGTAATGGTCACAAGTACATATGTTGGTCGCTTAGTTAGTGTTTCATCACTGTCATAATTGCAAAGGGTCATTGTGAGTCGGTAAACAAGGATAACCTTATATGTATGTATATGCAGAAATAAATTTAAGAGTTCGTTCAGCTGTTTCATCTAAGGGATTTCTATATTTCTGTTCAAGGGTGAAAATCTCTCCTAAATGTCCTTTTTTTCAGTGCCAAAGTTAGTTACTATTCCCGCCCTCCTGAACCATGGGTTCTGTCCCCACATCTTTCCAAGGAAGGAGTAGCAACAATACAGGAGGATTTTAATTTTGAGGAACTGGAAGAAGATAACAAAAATACTGTAAACGGTGAGATTAGTCTAACCTAACCCTCTCATTTTATATACATATAAGAGCAAAATCCATAATGACCTAGTTTACTGAATGGTTTACATATTACAGAACAGCCTTTTCCCAGAGGCTGTTTGACTTCCATGAAAAAAATATTAGTTATGTTGGATATGTTTCACATTTCAGGAAAAACAAAGTTTAATCCCTACAAAGATACCAGCATATCCCGCAACTTAATCCCCAAATTACAATTAGTTTATATAGGAATGTTAACTCTTTTCTCCATCTACTGCTTTCTCCTACATAAAATTATTTATATATGCTAGAAATAATTAAACTTATTTAAGTTTAATTCAGTGCTCTTTTGCTTGAAATAGCTTATCCCAGGGGTCAGCAAACTTAAACACTCAGAGTCATTTGGACCCGTTTCCCACAGAAAACACCAGGAGTCACAAAGGTCCTAAACGGAAGCCCCCTGTTCAATTCTGGAGCTGACCGAAGTGCAGTTCCCACACCATAGTCTCCTCCTAGCGCGGCGTACTTTTTCGTCTACCTATCATAACCGAAAGCCCTATCAATTGTGGAGACAACTGGAAAACCCTCCCCTTGCGCACTGTGCTTCTCTCAAAATTGTGGTGCCGACCGGTGACGGAGCCACGGCAGAGGGAGGAAAAAGCCACATGCGGCTCCAGAGCCGCAGTTTGCTGGCCCCTGGCTTATCCTGACTGGTTGAGCTTTATTTAAAAATGCAAATTTATAGAGCTAATCGTCTTATGAACATTGCAGTTCATCAGGAGTTATAAGTAATTTTTATTTGTGGTACTTGGGGGGGGGGGGAAGGTATAACTTTTCCTTGTGGAAGGGTGTTTCTAATTGTCTTTTCTGGTTTCTCTTCATATTAACTATTCGTCTAGAAGTACATACTTGGCTTTATGTTTGATTTAAGGTCTGTTTATAATACTACAATTAAAATCTGACATTTTAAGAAATTCCGGAATTTTGGGTGGGAGTTGGGTGGCTTTAGAGATGTGATAAATAAGTATTAGGAGTATTCATAGCAAGAAAAACATAGTCATAAGTAGCTTTGGGGAAGTTTATAACTTTGAACAGTTGCTAAGCGATAGGCCATAAACCAATGATTACATGCTAATGTTCCTCCATTTATTTATTTTCCACATTAGTTAAAAAAATAGCAAATAGTCTTGCTAATTAGCAGTCTTGCTAACAAACTCATAATCTTAAAAGTGTTCCAACAGAATTCATTTCTATGGCAGTTTATCTTTTGGCAAAATGCCCTAGAAAGTTCTGCTTGTTCAGTCTCTTAAGGGAGTATTTCTTTTTTAGCTAACAAGTACCCTAACCAGGCAAGCACCATTGTCTTCCAATCTCCTGGCTTCACGGATGGCATCATGGAAGATAATGAACAGCCAGAGGAAGCCCTGGAATCAGAGAATGCAGAAGAAAATGATGAAGAATTAACTGAAGAAGAAATGGAAGATGAAAGTGATCTTGATGATGTGGAAGAGGTAACTTGAATTTTAAGATGTTTAAGGATGCTCTCCAGTGAGATCTTTCATTGGACGAATTGTTTCTCCTGTGAATGAACCAGGAGGAATACATTTTGTACTGTGTGCAAGGAGAAAAGAAGGCATGCTACACAGTATGGGACTTCATTTGTACTATTAAGCAATTTCAAAATACAGTTTGTGAATACATCCCTCAGATTTTGAAGGATGGAGGTTTAGGTATTTGAAACCCTGTTAATACAGAATATATTTTAATTCCTATCTTTAAAATTGAGAACTACTAACCTAGAGTATATAAGGAAGGTATAAGCACTGCATTTGGTTTTCCTATATCAGTAATGTTGATATAGCAATTATTAATCTTGTTTTAGGAAAGTGACCAATTAAAGAGTAGTCAAACGCCCTCTGAAGAATTGAAAGCAAAGAATGAAAATTTGGATATGTTACCTACAGGTATTTATTAAACCTACAAATTTCACAGGAGTAAATATTTAAATAGAAACCCTCTCAAAATATTCTGAACTTTTTTTCCCCCTTTAGATGAAAAACAACTCAAAACCAGTGACCTGGATGATGCCTATGACTTCAATACAGATTACATGTGAAGAAAATATTACAAAATTTAAAGTATTTTTCACATTTTGGAATGCATTCTTAATCTGTTTTTGTAGTTACTGAACGCCAGACTCTTGTAAATATTTTGAAAATAGCTGATAAGGAAAGATACTTTTTGATGTAGTAAATTTTGTTCTGAAAATGCTTTGATCACATGAACTACAAGCAGAAGTAAAACCAATGTTTTACAAAAGCAGAATGAAGCAACAATTCAGACTACAAGCTGTGTAGGGACGTGTGATGATTAAGTAACGATAACAAAGGACTTTCTACTTTCCAAACTGGAAAAAATTGAACTGAATTGCAGAAAATACTATGGTGGAATGGAAATTATTTTTCTTGGGATTTTTTTTCCCTTCTCCCTATAGTAGTAAACTTAGCACTAAGATGAAAGGTGCAGCCTATAAAAAGTAAAGAAACAGGTAAACATTGCTTCTTTCCTGAATTATGCATTTTTCATAATTCTGTAGCCTCAGTTCCATCTTAATAAGGCATAATTATGTTGTATACAGGAATGCATAATGCAGGTTCCTGAGGAACATATATGTGTAAATAAAAAATATATCCAAAAAATGTAAATATATTTTGATGTCTTCGTGCTCAATATGTATAAGCAGTACAGCCATATAGAATAGGATTTTTTTTAATGATATAATTGCATATCTTTATCTCATTTCTCTGGGTGTATATTCAGAGGCAAGAATATAACCTGTAATGCAGTACAGCCAAAGTCCCTTTCCACCCACTGTTTACAATTGTTTCTGTTTTCAGCCACCATTTCATGTTTCAGATGAATATAGACATAATGAATAGATTTACAAGGTTTACTTAATTCCTGATAATTAGAAAGTCAAAAGTGGTTCAGCCTTTTTTGAACAAGAATCATACTTAACTATTGGATGGCCCACCAGAAGTCACATTCTTCTATGTGACACATATAATATTTCTGTAATCCATATGTTTCTCCTGTTGCATTGTAGTTTAACAGCAACTTTTGGAGGAGACGCTTGGACTTCTACACCTCTGTTACTTTTCTTTGTAACAGATCAAAATTTACTTTTTTCTTTTAATTTGTGAACTTTTCTCCCAAATTTCTAATTCTTTTAATGTGCGTCACCCAAATAGATGTTCAAGAAACTGAGGCATTTAATGGAAGAAATAATATATTGTAAGACATTACTTTTTATTATAGTTACCAAATGTAGATTAATCTGAACTCGCAGACAAACAAATCAATATTTCTCCATGAATTTAAACAGGTTGCTTTAGTATTGGTGGGCAGTTTCTTCTATCATTTACTAAATGGCAAAAACAGATCAAATCTACAAAGGACTTAAATAAGTGTAAACAATTAACTAAATACTAAAGAAAAAACATTCTAACAAAACTTAAATTCATGGGTTACTGCTAAGAGGAGGTGGTTTTTCTTCTTTAAAAATAGCTGTGCAAGATAATATTGTGGATACCTAGTAAATGTCAAATTCCTTGGTGAAGTTCATTTTGTAATGTTTCATTTATAAAAGTTTATGTCTGAAGAATTCATTTGGTCTAGCTGAATACAAGTAGTCCTCAATTTAACAACTGTTTGTTTAAGACAGTTCAAAATTATGCTGGCCTCGGAAAAAGTGACTTATGACCTGTACTTACAACCATTGCATCATCCTGTGCTGGTCACATGATTGCTGTGTAGGTGCTTAGCAATTTGCTCCCATTTATAATCTGTTACAACATCCTACAATCGTATTGTGCTATGTGACCTCTTTTGCAAAATTCCAGCAAAAAATTGCCCACTAAGGAACTAGAGCATATGATTTGCTTCATGACCACCATGAACATTTTCATAAAATTCAGGTCTGACTAGATGTATGACAACAACAATCTACAATGGAAATTCAGTCCAATTGTCATAAATTGTGGATTACCTGTAGTCGATAAACTATTCTTCAATTTGAAGGCACACAGCTGCTGCTTCAGGCATACAATTTCAAGTTTTTCTCAAATTTAGTGTACATTAAAAAGACATACCATGACTGATTTCACTCTGATCTTACAGGTTTCCTGAGAAAAGCATGTAGGTGTTAAGTCTTTATTAATGTTCTGTGTAAATCTCACTGCCTGCGAATCAGGTTAAATTTGCCATTAGGATCAGGAATGTACCATTTTTCCCAAACATCTGCAAAGGATGCCGTTCGCCCCCAAGGCTTGAAATGTCCATTCCAATGGAGTAATTTGGCAGCTTTCACAAACTCTGGTGAGTATCTGTTGCCGGCACTTGAACCTTTAAGTGGAATAAGACAAGAAATATAACAAGAAACCATGAGCGCAGAAGTTGTTTCTGCAGTTTTCAAACCCAGGTGGAATTAACCATTTTATATGTTCACACATTGACATTTTCATCAGAAATATTTTCTTTATCACTGCTCACTACCCTCAAAATTGGACATAAAGTTTATTTTAGAGTCCTGGAGATGATATTCTTGCACTAATCTAATTGCTACACACATATTGAAATACCACAGAAGTTTCAAGTTCACTGCATTTAAAAAGGTCAATTTTCTTAAGTAGACAATAATTTGAATGATATTCTCCCAGAGGAAAACCAATCACTTAAATGCAAGTGATTAAAAACATCCTACTAGTGAATTTCTACTCAATACAGTTGGGGCTTTGCCTGTTCCCTCCAGGTCCACAGAAACCATTAAAAAAACACTTCATTTCAGAGATTTTGAGAATGCATGAGAAATGGCCAGGGAAAGAAAACTGCATGTTCCCATTTCATCAATATTCTGTCCAAAATCACTAAAATTAGTACTGAAAAAGGACAAAAAGGATTATAATTTCAAACCGTTTGATTAGTCAAATTAGCTCCATCTTGATAAGGGCACAACAAGATAAAGGTCCCCCTTGCACATATGCGCTTGTCATTCATGACTAGGAGGGCGGTGCTCATCTCCATTTTAAAGCCAAAGAGCCAGCGCTGTACAAAGACATCTCCGTGGTCATGTGACCGGCATGAGTAAACGCCAAAGGCACATGGAACACTTGCCTTCCCACCCTATTTTTCTACTTGCATTTTTTTGTGCTTTCGGACAGCTAAGTTGGCAGAAGCTGGGACAAGGAACGGGAGCTCACCCCATTACGCGGCACTAGGGATTTGAATCGCCGAACTGCCAATCTTTCCATCGATAAATTCAACATCTTAGCCACAATAAAGGCACAATATTAACGTGAAATTGGTTTCTTCTCTTTACTTACCAAGATGGCGAACATTCCACATAGGGTTAATTTTTGAATGTCGTTTGTAAAATACAATTAGCAGAGGAGGTGTAGTGATACTTCCAGCAAGTGTCTTGCTATATATCTCTTCCCTAGTCAGTGATTAAGAAAAATGCAGATTACCAGCTAAACCAAAAGTATAATAATTAACAAGAAAAACCATTTTCATAGATAATATAATTTGAATGGATTGCAATTTTGTTTTTAATGTATTATTTACATGTTTGTTTTTGCATTGTTTTTTAAAATATTTAATGGCAAATGCTTAATATTCACAATGAATAACTCGCATTGTACTTTGGAGTAACGTTAGATTGGACTCTCCTATAAGATACATCTAAAGAATATAGCAGCAAAAATCAATACTAGGCGCAACATATTCCAGAAATTATGTGGAACTAAATGAGCAGTTTCAGCTGCCACACTCAGATCATCAGCCCTAGGGTTGGTCTCTGCAGCAGAATACTGTGTCCCAGTATATCTTAACAGTTGACACACTAGTAAAAGGATTATCCGACACTCTGAGGATTATAAGTATATGTATTAAAATCACTCTGACTTGGTTGCTTCCTGAGTCATATAGCATTGCCAGCTTTATGAAGGCAAGATGCCTTCATAAGTGGCATCAAGTGAGAGAATACAGAAAAAAATACGAACAATTCACTCCTACCAGTACCAACATCCCTAATTTATCAGCCGGAAGATTCAAATCCAGGAAACCCCCACTGGCACTTGCACAACATCTGCCCAACAACTTTAACCTCAATTTCCAATGGGAAGCCAAACAGGTTGCTGAATGTCCAGACATACAAAGACGTAAATGGCTTCACAAAAAAGGTGCAAGGCTTTGAACCAAGGGTAACAGTCAATTTTTTCCCCTACCAGTTCTGTGGGTGTGGCTTGTTGGGGGTGGGGTCCTGGGACTGAGTGCGGGTGGCCAACTCAATGTCACTCATGGCCACGCCTATTCAGTCAGACCCCACCACCACCAAGCCATGCCCATAGAACCCAGTAGGAAAAAATGTATGAACACCCACCAGAAGGGCTCATAGTGAATGCTGTGGCAGAGATAATCCAAACGTTTCTTCCTCCAATCAGCAGAGCTGCTGCAGCCTGTCCCTTTAAAATAGTCCACGGGAGGGTGGGGGCTGGAGGGACCATAAAAGGAGCAGCAGCTCCACTGAATGGAGGGAGAAACATTCAGATTCTCTCTGCCACAGAATTCAACATTAAATGCAACAGAATCACAAGTTTCTTCCTCCATTTATAATGGAGCTGCTGTCCTTTTATGGTCCCCCTGGCCCTCTCCCTCCCGGGGACTATCTTAAAGGGACAGGCTGCAGTAATTCTGTGAATGGAGGGAGAAATGTTTGGATTCTCTCTGCTGCATTTTAACGTTGAATTCTGTGGCAGAGAATTCAAACGTTTCTCCCTCCATTCAGAGAGGAGTTATTGCTCCCTTTAGGGTCCCCGCAGGCCCCTCCCTTCCGGGGACTATCTTAAAGGGACCAGCTGCAGCAACTGCTGTGAATGGAGGAAGAAACGTTTGGATTGGGTGGGCAGGTCGAGCAGCCGGAAGAGGCAAGCAGCGACAGGGTGAGCAGGCAGGCATGGGCAGGGCCACCAGGGATTTTTGCCACTGGTTTGGAGAACCAATGCCAATAATCCCTGCCAGTTTGATTGAACTGTGCCGAACCAGGAGGATTTCACTCCTGCTTTGAACTACTATGTCAGCAATGGACAATCCTGAATAGGATGCGCACCTCACATGGTATCTCCAAGACTATAAATGGGACATAGTATCATTTCAATGTGACTGGGCTGCCATGTCAAACTAGATCACATTGTGACCAGCTGTGCATATATACAGTGTGTGTCTTTTTTTTCCAATATAAACTGTTGCACTTCAATGGTTGGATGGCCTAGACCAGTGATTGTGAACCTTTTCAGCACCGATTGCCCAAACTGGAACGTGTGTGGCGCACCAGACCACCAGAAACCCAAAGACCAGCTGGCCAGTGCAAATCAGAAGAACAGCTCACGACAGTGTGCGTGCCCATAGAGAGGACTCTGCGTGCCACCTCTGCACACATGCCATGGGTTCGCTATCATAAGTCTAGACATCGATATTTGAACACAGATCTTTTAAAAATTAAAAGATTAAAAATATTCTATTGTGTTTTAGTAATCTAGGTGAAATGTTTACACACACACACATATATATATAAATCCATGTATGATATGCCATATGAGAAATAAATAACCACATTCTTGACAATGAGCTAGAAAAATACAACAAAGTGAGTGATAACAGAACACAATAAGACAGTCGGCTTCAAATAAGAGATCCCTGTAAGGGTAAACTTCCCATACAATAATGATTTTAGCACTTCCTAGATGTTTTTCTTAGACTAATGGCCTTCTTAATATTTTAGACTGCTGCTTGCAGAATTTTTGAATGCCTAATAGACAAGATTCAGGAAGACAGGCAATACAGGGTACTTTTATCTCTGCTTCCCATCCTCACAATTAGTTTCATTCTTCAACTATCAAATAAAAAAACTGCACATACTCACACAGCATTAAGTGTCATCCATTTCTCTAATTGCTTAGTAACATTTTGTATTTTCCATTCTGTTAGATTTGCAACAAACACACCAGGATTAAAAGAACAGGTGCTTGCTTTGATGGACAGCTTCCGAACCAGTTCTTTTTTATAATCAAGAAATCCCATGTAATACTGAAAATAAATAGAAATAACAGTTTTATTCCTAACTTCCATTCCAAAGGCTTCTTCACTTAAACATGCTTCCTTTTTATGTGGAAAACCAGAAATTTGGGCAGAGTTGTCTTTATAATCATGTTGGATTATTTTAAATATAAATATTGGCAGGCACCATCAATAGTTACCATAAAAGCAGGAACTACTAAGTCTACAATGAACATCATGCAAATTACCTTAATACAATAGGATTTCCTTTTTAGCTATCTCATTTTTAAAAAAAATCATTGACTCAGATTTGATTTTGGATTAGATACATTTTCCATGTTCCTTTTTAAGTGTGGAAATGGCCTGTCATTGCCTTTCTCCAAATTGAAATGTTTAACCTATCTAGGCCTTGGATTTCCTGAAGTCCCACAAATACTAACAAGGTCTAATTTGCTGAATATTTGTAAGCCTGAATTAATTAAAAAGCAAATAGGCGGGAGGCTAGATACAGGGGAAATTCTGTTCTGTCTATAATTTCTACTGTCTCACTGTCCACTTAAAAATATCTTCCTATGCAGTGTATACAGTCTGATATATCGTGTTTTCCCCAAAATAAAACAAGGTCTTATTTTCTTTTGACCCCCCAAATAAGCACTTGGCCTTATTTTTGGGGTGGTCTTATTATTTTTTAGGTACAGGAGGCAGCGAGAGCATAGTCACCTCATGGCTGCTGCTGTTTTGCAATATTTTCAGGGAGGGTTTATTTTCGGGAAAGGGCTTATTTTAGCACATGTGCTCAAAAGCCTGATTTGACTTATTATCCAGGGATGTCTTATTTTTGGGGAAACAGAGTAGTTAGTCTTTCTTTAGCAAGTTTGGAGTTGCGACAGTGATGAAAAAGTAACTTTACAACCAACCCTCACATTTATGATCTTCACAGATGTGTAAAGTGAAGTAAAGATGAAATAAGATAAACATCTCTGTGGTTTCACTTAGCAACTGCTTTTCTTAACTACCAAGTTGCTACGCCCCACTTATCACTAAAAAGGAATACCTGTAGTGGTTAAGGTTATCGGGCTAGAAACAGGAATCATAAGTTCTAATTCTGTCTTAGACATGAAATCAGCTGAATTAATTTAGGCCAGGAACTTTTCCCTAGGAAATGGGCAATGGCAAACCACTCACAAAAATATTGCCAAGTAAACTGCAAAGACTAGTCCAGACAGTTACCAGTTATCAACACAAAAAGAGTAATTTGCATGAAATTGAAAAAGATCTGTTTCCTTCTTTCTACCTCCTTTTCACTCTATGGGAAGAAAGTTACTTGCTAATCAATGATAAAGATTAAATTGTTTTTGATTACCTCAAAAACAGTAATGGTTCTCCTTGGAAGTTGGAGAACAAAAGCATATTCTTAATACCCTAAAGAGAATTAAAGGCTGCCTACATAAATAAACATGCATCTGCAAAAAGCTTTAAACTAACAAATAAATTATTTAGGTTCTTTCTCATTGATAAAAGATCCAATCACGAAGCATACCAGCAAGAAGTTATTACTTATATTTTGTACCTTAAAAAAATGCTTTCCTAAAACTGGACATGGTACTAAAACTTTTGTAAAAGTTCCAAGTCAAGAACGGAACCAGATAATTACAAGGATCTTCTAACATCTAGTGCCTTTCATTCTTATTAACCTTTTTATAACCACCTATCTCGGGCAACTCTGGGCAGTGAACAATCATAAAACAGTTAAAAAACATTACAATATAATACAAATTAAATATTTCAGAGCTGCTTTCACCTGACTTCCTGTTCCATGGGCAGAAAACCTATTCGAGGTAGAGTCACAATCATCCGAGAATGCTGCAGCATGGCCTGGTTGCAATGGAGTGTTGTAAAGTTCAAGGATATCATCTAAAAAGGCATCATATGCAATGAATAGCTGCTACTGCAAGCAAATGAGAATCTGCATTTTGTCATTTTAACATAAATGGTCTTTTCCAATATTTAAAATACACATACTAACAGCGAATGCTATTCCAATAAATGCCATGTAAGGTTTAAAACTCGTATCTGTCTATCCAAAGAACTTTCCCACTTGAACAAAAGCTTATGAAACCAAATACAGCATATAGACTGATATTGTTTAGATGGAGGCCAAAACCATGCATAAAATAATTTCATTTTTTTTCAATTTTCAATTCATATTTGTACCTAATAGAAATGAGCTCATTAAGCTACTGTGTACTCATATTTCAGCTGTCCCAAAGGTGCTTTTTTCAAAAGGCAACTGCACTTTCTTGGGTTTTTTTTTTCCTTAAAACATTTTGCTTCTCATACAAGAAGGTCCTTCAGTTCTGGGACAACCTTCAGGGCAACCATGACCTAGATGATTGAGTATTTCCACAGACAATATGTCAGCTAGAAGTAAATTATTACCTTAATCAAAGTTTATGTTCAGATACACAGTATGTGCTTTCCACCTGTGACTACCCATTTTAAGCAAATCATTCTAGGCAGCTGACAAGCATAAAAACATAAATCCAGATACAAACCACAGAAAAAAAAATTAAAAGATGCCAGATTAAAAGTTTCCATCAATCAAGGCAAAAGTACAATAACTCTGTTAGCATTCTCTCTACTTTCTCTAGTGTTAATCACCCTCCCCCCAACACACTCCCAATTTTTCACTTAAATGTATGGCAAAAATGCTCTTGGTTATTTTACAAAGGCTCAATTTTTTCAGAAGGTAAAAATGAAGTGTAGCTACAGTCTATGTTTTGTTTGTAAATGGACTCATCTGCATAAAAAACAAACAACAAGTAGCCTGATGATAGATCATGAGATTGGTATGGTCTCAGGGATGACAGCAGGTAACCTCAACCGGTACACTGTGAAATGTGATGGTCACTGCTAACACAACAGATATTTGGTGACTGCCTAAATATTCTTCAAACAACCAATATGACCACTGGCACAAACAGTTGGGAGGTTTTGGAACCGAGTTTATTATAAAGCTTTTGGTTTATAAGACATTAGATTAATTAATCTAAAGCAGGAGAACACAACATGTTTCTTTTTCAAGAGCTACTTTTGGTCGTTCAGTAGTGTGCCAGAGAAATACACTACAAAAAGTAGAAAGAGGAATCGGAATGAAAATTGCTATGATTGCTGGGAGCTAAGATCCCAATCCATCTCATTGCTACCAGATATGGAGATGGTTGACGTGTTGAAAGGCAACCTATATGTTGTTAAGCATATTTAAAAAGCAAAGTCCCATACCTTGTACAATCACATCATCATCCAAATAAATGGCCTTTTCTGCATTTGGGACCCAATTAGGTAGATAGAATCTTGCAAAGGTCAGCTAGAAAGAAACAAAAGGTGATAAAAACAATTATGACATCGCAAACATTAGATATTTGTAATCAAATCTCTTTGATACACCTTCATATAATACAAGATTAAGTAGATGTAGTGGGGCAACTTTGGTGAATAAGATATAAATTACAAAACTATCCAACTAAATCCAATATGCAAAATAGAATTAAGGATTAGAATATTAAAAGAGAACTTTCTCAAAAGTGTAATAACTAAGCATAAATTCAAACATAAATTATCAGTAATGTTGAAAATGTTATATTTATAGTAAAATAAAACAGTAGTTTTTACCGGTTTTATGGAATTTGGCATCTTTGAATCTATCTGTACTTTTCCAGCCAGCATGCCAGGATCAAAATTCAAAATTCGGTATTGAATATTTTTTAAACTGATTTTATTAAGCCATGACCTACACAATTAAAAAAGAAATAGAAATAGCAAATATTACTGAAATAGCCGGAATGATATCCTACAAGAATAAATTCTTTGAATTTTCTCATCATGGTGTGTCTTCTAACAATCAAGAATAGGGCAGAGTAGGACAATCTGAAATCCAATATTACATAATAGAGACCCAATAAGATGTAATGATTAAGGTACCAATCCAAAAACTGGTAGGTTGTGCATTTTAATCCCACCTTAGGCACAAAGTCAGCTTGGTGATTTTGGGTTAATCATTCTCAGTCCTACAAAGAAGGAAAAGATAAATCACTTCTGAAAATACTACCAAGAAAATTGTATGAACCAGACTGGTAGGTAGGTAGGTATTTAGGTAGGTAGGTGAGGGCTGCATAAACTACAAAAATGACCTCGAAGAAATGGCAAGTGTAGCACCTTCTAGTACTCACTAAAGCAGCCACTTTTCTTTTCAAGAGTCAGGAAGCTGAAAAAAGATGTGATTGCTTTAAAAGTCACCTTGATCAATCAAAGGACATAGAATAAATAACTGTCTCTTTGTAATTAAATTTAAGAATAACTGTCTTTTTCCAATGCACTATTGCATCTAAAAATGATCCTCTACTAAAAAAGTAGGCAATAAAATTTCACAAATATGCTTTTACCTCAGATGGTCCACAGTGTCATTCAAAGTGACAATATGGAATGCAACATTGGATTTGGTGTTTTGTTGAATACTGTTCACAGCTGCAATTACACCACCAAGCCTTTCTTCGGATGCCGTAAGGACCACAGGAATTTCTTTGTCATTTTCTTTCACTATGAATCTTTGAGGAGCTTCAGGTATATAATCTATTGGCTGAAATCCTAGTGGATTTGAATCTACAGATAATTACATAAAACATTACATTTTGATTTAGCATGTTGGGTGACTTCAGATTTTGTCTTACGTAAACTAAGGTTAATGGCACAATATGAAAACTCAGTTATGCTTTATTGAATAAACCATGGCTAACAAACCATGGCTAAGCCCTTACTACTGTAATATTGAAACCAATGTTTATCTCTTAAAAATTACCTCTTATAAGGCAATAATTATTTTGAAGTTATATCCAAACAATAAGATTTACAGGTTGAAATCATATCCAATATAGAATCTATATTTTAAGTTATATTGAATAACTTATACAAAAGATGCAACTCTGACTGTATTTCAGTTCAGGTACCATGAAAATAGCTATGCTACACAGTGACGGTTTCATTTTTAACAACTTCTAGTGAGAAATGCTAAATAACAGTAAAAGAAGACAATTACAAGAAACTGCAAACGGTTGACAATAATTGTTAAAAGTATGGGATCAAATTTAAACAGTGTTTTTTACAAAAAAAAACCTTATAAAGCTTATAAAAACATACACAAGGGTATTATTTCCTATCAAACATTTTTACTGAAGCAGCATTAAAATAGAGAAATGGAGGAATACCTGATAATTCTTTTTTTAAGAGATCACCGAGACCTAGAAAGTTGTGATGCAGCACTAACAGAAATATAACAAAGACAAATACGAGGATGCCTATGTTTACTGCAATGAAAAAAGAAAGCCATTGTTAGAATAACACCATCTGAGTATTTTAACTTTTAAAAAATAAATATTTAGAGGAAAAAGTACCTTTTCTTAATGACATTTTCTTTGTGGATGAAAAACAAAATCTCTTGACACGTCTACAAAAAAGGAACATACCATAACTAAGATATTTACCATACTTAGTGATTCAAGAATGAATAAAGGATAAGAGTTCCTCCTAAATTCAGCAAGTATATAAAAAAGACAGCACTAGGAAACAGAGCTTATATTTACTATTTTAGGCCCTCATTCTCAATGTATTATTTGCTTCCAATCTGAAGATAAGTACAAAGCAATTCTCATTACTAAGCCACTTGTACGGATGAGAAATATCTTCACAGTTGCCAATTCAAAAGCCATTGGCTTTTACAGGCACATGCTACAAGCTGCAATTTGCATATATGAACTGTTTATATTCAACTGACTTACACTTCAGTAAGCCTTTATCATTCAATAAATGATGAATTTGAGATGAATAAATATATTTATAAAGATTCCTGTGACATAGCTTCTCAATTATCATAATCAATCTGGATTCCTATATTGTACAATAAAAGCTATATTTAAATGAGATATCATTTTGCTAGATCATAAATTGTGGGGATTTAAGGTGAACAGAATCTGGGATATCAACCACATTTGGAATAAAAATGTAATGACTGTATATTAGTTCATATACTTCATTTATCTTGTGGATCATAATTTTAATCCCCTTGTAACCATGATACTTTACAACAAGTCAATGTTATCAAAACTGCAATATTAAGAATTCAGGGAACTAAAATTATGTTCTATGTAAAAGAAATGGGAGTATCTAGCACTAAGATAAGATGATAAGGGTACATTAGTTTTGAAATATTTCTAAGAATGCCATAAGAACATAAAGTGTTTACTAGATCACACCAAGACCTCTAATGAGCCTCTTAAATCACATTTTTTCTAGTCTAATGAATGTTCTAGTGAGGTGTTTTCTAATGAATTTGAATCACTTTTCTATATTTCTCCAGCTCTAGGATCTTTTTAGTGCGATTACCACAATTGTACAAAATATTCAGGTGCAGACATACTGTCAATATATGACAGAGTAATACAACATTAGCTGTTCTATTTTTCATCTCTTGCTAAACCTTAAGATGGAATTTATCTAGTATTTTAACAGCTACTGCATATGGAAACAGCATCTTCACTATGCTAGAATCCTAAAAAAAAATCTTGATTACAGACAGCTCAGATCTCTTCAGTGTAAAGTACGTATGAAGTTGGGGGAAAGTATAGTGAATATATCTCACTTTATTTTAGCTGAGCTTCATTCAGCATGTATTTTCTCCATAGAAATCCATTGGGAGTTCAACATTTTTTATTTTTTAAACCCTGAAAATTTTGGTATCATCTGCAAACTTGAAATTCACTAAATCACTCCTTAATCAAGATTATGGCATGTTACAGAACAGCCAATATTCCTATTTAATCACAGGTTTAACTAAATCTGTTAGAGATGCTTCAATTTGGATGTACTGACTTAGGGGAGGGAGCAGTAATTTAAATGGCCTCTTCAACATTCCATATGGTTTTTTTCCATCAGTGCCTTTCAAATTATCAATATCTGTCAATATTATACAGATACAGATTAACAGTTGGAAGGGACCTTTAGGTCATCTAGTCCAGTGTTTTTCAACCACTGTGCTGCGGCACACTAGTGTGCCGTGACATAGTGTAAGGTGTGCCGTGGGAAAAACACTTGCCTATAGTCAATATAGGCACAGTTAAATTTTTTTAACATTTTCTAATGGTGGTGTGCCTCGTGATTTTTTTCATGAAAAAAGTGTGCCTTTGCACAAAAAAGGTTGAAAAACACTGATCTAGTCCAATCCGCTCCTCCCCCCCCCAGCAAATCCTACACCATTTTTGACAGATGGCAGTCCAGTCTCTCAAAAGCTTCCAGTGATGAAGCTCCCACAACTTCTGAAGGCAAGCAGCTGTTCCATTGGTTGATTGTAAGTTCGCATTTTAAAACATTCACTGTCATATAAAATTTGCTCAAGAATCAAGATGTAGAATCACCATTCAACCATTATTGTTAGCTGTTAAGTATCAACTAGTCAGGTGACTGTAGGGACAAATATGAAGAGCATGTTGCTCTTCTGCAGCTATATAAATGATGCTCTACAAATGTTTAACATGTTATCTCTTCAATGCCCCCCCCACCGCTTTCCATTATGTTATGCTGTTCCAAAACGCCTAGATCATTATTGCTGCAAGTGACACCAGTTAGAAATCACAACCCATCCGTTAAAACGAAACTACTGCTACTTTTTAAAATGAAAACCCATCACTCGCTTGCCTTCCATCCCCCTTGCTCAGATATGCTGGCCACCCGACTAGATCCACTGCATATTAAAAAGGGAAAATGTACCATATCTGCATAACATACAGTATAAGGCTTATAATTCATTTCACACATTCCAGCATGCTAAACAGGCTGGTCTTACTTGCTGGCCCAGAATCCAGAGATCCTTCTAGTCCTCCCTTCCCTTTGCACAGTTTGGCGGCCACGCGCGAATTGCCAACTCAACACCAAGTATTGTAATCAGCAGCTGGAAAAATAAAAGGTGCCTATCATCGTGCCTGATTTTTATTTTTTAAAAGCGATACGTAAGAAACGCGTTCACCAAAGCCTTAATGCCAAATACGTTTCTATAACTACACGCATTTTGTTTGTGTGTGTGTGTGATAGAATAAAAAAAACAACAGAGCGGCAACACGCTAGACGCCACCTGCACTAAGACCCATTTCTCACCAAAAGGGTGGGAAAAGCCTCCAGCGCTTGTTGTCATGGTGACGAACTAAGACTCCACCTTTGGCGGCGAGCCCTGTGACGTCATAGCGCTATTGCCAGTCGACCGGCAGACGGCAGCATCCGCCGGCGGAGTTGGCATTTTTCTGGAATGAGTCCAGGAGGGGAACAGCCCCCACGCCCCGCCCTAGCCGATCCGGAAATTCAAAAATGATGAGGCGGGGCAAGAGGACGTCGAATCCGGAATGCTCGAGAGCGCCCGCCTTACGGCAGAAAGCCGTCTTGATCAAGAAGGCGGAAGCGCCCGTTGACTGTTCACCGCTCGGCTCTCCCGCCTCCAACGGCAACTCTCAGGGCGACTCTTTCCAGCCGCTGGAGAGCCCGCTTCCTCCCTGCAGAGCCGAGGAGCCCCCGCTGTCCCCCTTCCTCCCGGAAAGCGCTGACGGCTCCAGAGATCTAGACGCCGCTGCTCCGCCAGGCACCATGCTCAACTTCTTCCGATCCATTCCGACGCAGATGGTAAGGCGGGGGCATCCCGGGACTTGCCTCCGTCGCGCCGACTCCTCTCCGCCCGCGCCCCCAGGCTAGCGGAGAACAGAGCCGTGCCCGTCCGACCGACTTTGAGGTCGGGCAGGAAGCGGTAAAGCATCCAAGGCACCAGATAGAAACTGCCTGGCTGACTGGGCTGATAAGGAGACGTGTCCTAAATAGAGGCGCCCAAGGGTCCGATGACTGACAGGTGCCCATTAGGCGGAAAGATGTTCAGTTCGGAATAGAAAACAAAAAGACTCAGTTGCTCTGCGTCCTCTGTTTTCCTCCCCGCCTTTGAATTGTGTAAAATTAAATACTTAAATTGTATTATCGAAAATAAGCCTTTTGTTTCGGTAGGATTTTATCAGTTGTCTCATAATGTATTTGGTGGATGGCTTAGGTAAAACAGAATTAACGATCAGTACCATGCTAAAATCAGTTAAACATATTTAACTAAGAATTCTACTTCAAAAAGACAAAATCAGACATCGGCCTTGGAAAATATTGAAACACTAAATTAAAAATATTACATTGATTAAATTTACTAAAGCTGCCTAGAGCAGCCCCAAATAAATTTAACAAATAAAGACCTATGTAAATAAAGAGCTATTACATACTACTGACAGAATATTGATATAGATAAAATGTGTGCTGCTGAACATATTTTCTCCCTCAAAAATATCTACTATTTAAAGGAACATTATTTGGCAAAGTTAATAAATTTAGGTATTAATAAACTTAATCCCTGTGATGTCCGAGTGCCAGGTCAGCTGGATTTATTAATGGGATTTAAAGATCCTCCTCTTTTTTGAGGTTTACCATAAATTAGGCAGATTTGACTTGTTGATTCCTTCTTGTTTTCCAAATTGACTAGACTTGTTCAATTGATTGTTTTGTTTAATTATTTATTTGGAGCATTTATATGGCCACTCAAATCCAAACATATGAGTAGCTTGATTATGTACCATCAAATCATTTTCAACTCCTAGCGATTAGACAGTTAAATGGCTTACAAAATCATTAAAAAATACGGTATAAAAGTAACATCACTAAAACAAAAAATATGAATTGATGATCAGGCTAAACTATATCTTCCCAATGCGTACTGAGCAATATATTTTTCATCTCAATCCAAGAGCCAGGTCCGATTCACCTTTCTAATGCCCTGCAAGGTTCAGTCAAACTGGGATGGGGAATCATTCCAAAGGCAAGGGACAACACCCAAGAAAGCATGCCTACTAGGTCTCGCTAGGTGCCATTATTATTCACAATCCAAAATGTGATACATGAAATATTTAAAGTGTCTGAATACGTGAATATTGTTTACTTAACAAATCGGACAGAGATTACAGTCCTTCTATACAGAATTTCTATTTTATAATTATGCTTGTGCTTGTTTACATTTATTTCCTTCTTTCTTTTAGGCATTAAATGATTCTTCCTCTTTCCAGTTTTTATCTTCCTGTTTAGTGTAATAATCTATATGGCTGGGTTCTAGAGGTAGGGGGTGTTGTTCTTCTGTCCTTTAAAGCTCGGTGTCAAACTTGTGGCATCACATTGCCATCATGTGATGCTTATTCCCTTCACGGAGCTGGGGTGGCCTATGTGTGGCCTATGTGTGATGCATATGGTCCATGGGCCACCAGTTTAACATCCCTGCTTTAAAAAGTCATTGTTTTTCCCCACTTCAAGAAGCCATTGTTGCCAACCTAATTAGACAATTTTCATACAGTATGATCAGCAGCTTCAGAGGATCTTGGATAAAGTGGTTATTTGAATCCCTTTCAGTTGTGTTTCAGGCCTTGATATGAGGCTGAAACAAAATTGTGCATTTAGATGGCCTCCAGTGGGAGTGGGATGGGGCTCTACATCCATCCTTGCTCTACTTGACCTCTCAGCACCTTCAATGCCATTAACTGTAGTCTCTTTTTGGGCTGGCTGCAGGGGTTGGGAGTGCATATTGTGCTGGTTTTCTTCCTTTCTCCACAGGAGTTTCAGCTGGTGTTGATTGGAAGAGGTCCTGCCCTTGGTCCCTACTTTGTGGGGTCCTGCAGAGTTCAAAGCTTTCTCTATTCTTACTTAATGTCTACATGAAGCTGCTGGGTGAGGTTATCCACTCCTAAGAGGAAGAGTATCATCAGTACACTGATTATACCCAGAAATACATTTCTGTTCTTGGCAATTTAAGTGATGCTGTTGAAATCCTAACCCAATGCAACGAGGTTGGGGAACAACAGGCTTTAACCCTTGCAAGATTGAGTGGCTTCAGGTTTGGGGGCTTTCAGGATCTTTGGTACTGGATGGAGAGGCACTGCTCCAGACAAAGCCTATGCTCAATCTGGGATTCTAGATTTATCGAACAGGTAGCAGTTGTTGTTAGGAGGGCCTTTGTACAATTTTGAATTATATGCTATTTGCACCTTTTCCTGGCTTTCTTGAGGCTCCGCTCTCAGTCACCCCCGCCCTGGATTACTGTAATGCACTCTGCAATGGGCTTCCCTTAATGAGCACACAGAAGCTCCAACTTGGTGCAAAATGCAATGATGCAGGCTATGTTCTTTGATCAGTCATAATCAGCATGTTAAATCACTGCTCCACAAGCTGCAATGGTTAACAATTTGCTTTTGTGTTTAATTCAAGGTGATGCTAATGAAGTAAAGCCCAATGGGAGGGGTAGTTATTGGAGGGACTACCTCTCCTAGGTTATATCTTTCTGCCCCATCAGTCTGCCAGGAAGGGCGGGATATAGCTCCCATTTGCCAAGGAGTTACATCTGACAAAAACCAGTAGACAGTCCTTTTCTGCCACAGAGCCCACCCTTTGGAACATTATCCCCCCCACCCCAAGATTTGACTGGGCAGAACCCTATTAACTTTCTAGAAAGCCCTGAAGACACAGCTCTGCTGCCATGTTTGGGACATGTCCTGTGACAACCTACAACCTATGCAGTGGTTATCTTGTTCATAAGATGAATGCCAATCTCCTGCAGATTTTTTTTTTAAATTTTAATAGTTTTAATTTTTAATGGTATTTTAATTATTGTTTCACTATTTGTATTTGTTTTTTTTTTAGTTTTAACTGCATGAGCCGTCTAGTCGCATATGTAAGATGTACAGTTGAACAAATAAGTATAAATGAGTGGAACAAAATCAGCTAGTCAATTCCCTTCAGTTGTAGTTGAATTCTGCTAACTTGAATTAACTAAAATCACACTCTGAACCAAATTATGATTTGTTGTGACTATGAGTTACTTAAGCCACAATGATTAAGGTTACATATTCACATTAAATATTAATAGAATGTGCAAACCTACCCAGAAATATCTGAAGAATTTTACAAAATTCTTTGTGGAGAGGTAAAGTAAAATCTTTTTTCCATTCTTTGGTCCTTGTTAGACAAGCATACTAAACTAAAGAAGTGAGCTGACATCACCACTTAGCGGCTACAATAGCTAGCTGTGCCTAAACATGTTACAAAAGTCAAATGTAAATTAACTATAAATCTTTTAGCAGTGCTGGGTAAATATAGTTAATTTAATTTATATATTTAGCAGTCAACAGCAATTAAAAGTGAACTGTAGTCTGACAGCATAATACAAATTCTAAGTATTCTCAACTGTTCTTTCACACTCAGTAGCAATATCTATTTTTAAGAACTCTTCCTCAGATTTATTTTTAAATGCATTTTCAGCTCATTCCTATTGCGTTATCAGAAATCTTAGTGTAAGCTATAATTCTTAGGGATGGGGAAAATATTGATGCTATTGATTTTTCTTTTTCCACAGGACTACAAAGGTCAAAAACTAGCAGAGCAGATTTTTCAAGGAATAATTCTTTTCTCTGCTGTAAGTATAATAAAAACAAAGAACACCATCACTATAAATTCATTACTTCTTTCCACCTTACCTTCCTGAAAAGATCTTCATAAGAGATAAAAGCATGAGATTCTTGAGAATATTTTATGTGATATATTAGAAAATAAGCAAAATCCCTTTCCTTCCAATTATTGGAGCAAATATATTTTCTGGATCCCAGTCCTTTTTTAAAATAGCTGTCATTGCAGTAAGAACATCCTAGATTAAAATCTATACCTTTTAAAGCATTGTGTCCTGAAGTATAGAGAGAAGACTTGATACTTTATTATGAATACCCAGTAGCTTCCTTAGTTGTTGTATACAATTTAAATTGTTGTATTGGGTTTGAGAAATAGACTTGAATATCCTTTGTTATGTCTAATTTTTATCTTGTAGGTGGTTGGCTTTATTTATGGATATATTACTGAACAGTTTGGCTGGACAGTTTACATAGTAATGGCTGGATTTGCTATATCGTGCCTGGTAAGAATATAACTTTATAGCAAATATACATAATATATTCAAAATACCAAGTTCTGCAATAATTGTAAACTGTACCTGTAATGGTAGCACACACCCTAAATGATGATTTTTTCTTTGGTCAATAAGTTATCAACATTGTATTATATGTTATTCTGTTGTCTTGATATTCCAGTTTTTTGTTGTTTGTGCAATTGGCTTTTATCCTGATCTTCCTTTGAAGCAACTACATAGCAGTACGGAAATACTGCTCACCAGATTAGTTTCCCTTGCGCCTAATCTTAGTTGTCTTAACCAAAAATTAAGAATTTAATAGAATTCTTAAGTTGTCCTATTTTTTTTTTAATTACAGCTCACACTGCCTCCATGGCCCATTTACCGTCGCAATCCTCTGAAATGGCTCCCTATTCAGGAATCTGCAATAGATGATAAGAAACCTGCTGACAGAAAAGTAAAGAGGCATCCTAAAAATTGAAAAACTACAATTCTGTATGAGTTTCTGTCATTAAATTTGCTTTAAAATTTATTTCTCTTTTTTTTACTTGGTTTGGTGTTTCTGCACAGTCAGAAAACAAATTCTTCCTTTGAATTTAATGCCATCCATCTAGGGCAGTGATGGCGAACTTTTTTCGCCTCAGGTGCCAAAAGTAAGCATGCACGCACCATCATATGCACTTGCATGCCCACCCCATAATTTAATCCCCCTGTACCATGCTCCCTGCGCATGCACGCATGATTTTCCCCCCACCCTGCATATGTGCACACGGCTTTCTTGGAGCCTGGGGAGGACAAATATGCCCTCCCCTACCTCCCGGAAGCCAGAAACAGCTCGTTTTCCAAATTCCAGTGGTCCCAGTAGGTCTGTTTTTCACCCTCCCCATGCTCCAGAAGCTTTCTAGGAGCCTGAAGAGGTCAAGAAATAGGCAAACACAGGGAAGCCTCCAGAGGGTGAAAAATGGCTAAAGATCAAGGCCAAAAATCAGCTGGCCATTGCGCACATGCATGCTGGAGCTGACAGGGCAACGCCTCACATGCCCTCAGAAGTGGCACACGTGCCATAGGTTCACCATCATGGATCTAGGGTATGGTACATTTAGTGATTTATTAAGTAATTTAAATATTGTAATAGCTGCATTTAATAGCGGAATTTCTTAGCTTACTATAGTTTAGCTCAGCAATCATTTTCTAGTATATCTTAAAAGGATTAAGTAAACTGTGAAAATAATTATTTTTATGCTCCATCGTCTGCAGTGGTTTAAAATCTACTACCACTAATCATAGAATCTCAAGTATTTAATAATCTTAACTAGTCAATAATAGGCCAATCTCTTTAGACCACTGTTAAGATATTATTGCAAAAACATAATAGGACTAATTTTGAATCTCTGCTTAAATAATATTTTAAATAATATGTACCTATTCAAGGCATTCTCAAAGTAGTCATGTGAATTCCAGCAAAAATGAAAATAACGAATTCCAACACAGTGCATATTTGTCTATGCAGGATTGCCCGTTTTAAATGATGATTGACATTGAAACAAAAATAATTTAATATGTTTTAAAAAGACAATCATTAGAAAGTGCTGCTTGTTGCTAGTATTTTAAAAAATCCCATTTATCCAAACTTACCTTTAAGCACGTATTGCTCCTTATAAACTAAATATACAATGTACAATAGATAACAAGAAACTGTATGGGAAAAGGTTTATCTTCTAAGTGAATGAATATAAGAAAAATTTAAAAATCAATCCAGTTACAAACTGAGTGTCTTTCTTTCAGGAAGAAACAGTTCAACTGAGGTATTTGTCAAAGTTTCACATTGTCTTCTAAGAACTTTAAATGACGAGCCTTCATACTATAAGATGTGTACTTTTCTCCCATGAGCTTCCGCAAACATAGCTATTTAAAAGGAGGGAAAAACATATTGTAATTCAAACAAGAATAGTTCCTTTTAGCAGAGATTATATGCAAGACTGATTTCTATTAAATCCACAGATAACTAGGGCACATATTTGGGAAATTGCCCAATTAAAAATTCATAAAACACTGAGTTTGATGGCAACACAAATATGGTAATAGTGGAAAACACTAAGACATATTAATGGAGAATATGTGCAGCTAGGGTTGAAATATTGGCATCTTGGTTTATAAGCTTATTCACTAAGCTTATAAACATTCACTGCCAAATTAAGTAATATCAGTGCTTTGGCACAAGGGAATTGGGTTTGCAGAGTTTGTACCTTGTCCAACCTACCTTGATCTGTCTAATTTGGTTGGCTGTATTCTTTCATCTTGATTGTTCCTGCCTATCTTGCTGGAATAGTTTGTAGATTGGTTTTATTTCTTTGAGTCTGTTATTTCTGATCTACTTTATCAGAATTCCAGGTTTCTAGGAATTATTTTACATTCTTCAATTTGCATTTAAAATGATATTTTATATTTGTTCTGTCAAAAAAAACCATACCTCTCTTTTCTGTTCATCCTCTTCTTCCATTGCATAATAAACTTTTTCTAGCAGCTTTATCCCAATTCCTTGAACTACATCTGCTCTTAAAATCTCAACCAATCGCCTAATATTCTGGGGACCAGACTTGACATCTAATAAAATAATAAAATACATTATTTTTTGAATTTTATTTCTGGCAACTAGATAAAGCCAATTATAATTGCAGAGATTTCAAACATTTTCATTTTAATTCAGATCAAATACTCTGGAGATTCTCAGATTTTATTCAGCATTCTATTCCAAATAATCAGAATTGATGCTACTATCATTTCCACAGATAGAATACGCTAAACAGAACCTTTAAAATGGAAATTGCTTTTCTTCTGACTTAATGAATGTTTTTTTTTTGTAATACTAGAGTAGAAAATCTAATTTGAACATCAAAGTTTCAAGCATAACATACAGACCTGAAGGAAGCTCTTGTAACTGAAATTTATCAGGTTCTTCAGCTGCTTTCCCATGTAAGATCAGTGTATCCCTATATTTCCTATTTAGCCTGAACTGTGAGTCAGGTGTTGGCATTGCAAATTGTGAATAATTTTCAATATTATCCATTTTTAGTGTTTGCGTCATCAACTGTAGCAAGTCATTCATTTCATTACTTTTTCTGCAAAACAAGAAGATACTTCAGCATACTCAAAATCATACACAATGAGAGAATTTTAAGGATGAACTATCTGAACTTAGTATAGTACACAGAATTGTGTAAGGTATGGTTTAAGTCTTATTTTCCAAAAGGGTTTTGTCATTTTTCTCTTCCTGCTTCAGAATGAGGAATGGGTTGGAGATAAACCAAAAGGGAGCAAGACAAGAATAAAAGATTTCACAAAACCATATGGTTGTCCTCAACTTATAACGGCCTGGAATTTCAGCCATACAACATTGTGGTTATAGGCTGAAGCTCCATGTGACAGGACACAATTTTACAATGTTTTTATGACAGTCATAAAGTAAGTCATTGTCATTAAGCATATTACATAGCCATTAAATAAACCACGCCGGAGTCCAGCAAAAATGTTACAAATCATGGTTATGTCACTGCAAGATGCCACAACCTATTGTAAATGAGAGCCAATTGCCAAGCATCTGAACTGCAATCACATGATCAGGTGGGCACAGCAGTCATAACTTCAAGGGTGAATCAGAAAGAGCTTTTTACAATCGGATGTTTGACAAATGACTCACATTTATGATGGTTGCAGTGTCCAAGAGTCATGTGATCGCCTTTTGTGACCTTCTGACAAGCAAAGTCAATGGGGAAACCAGATTAATTTAACAACCATGTTACTAATTTAACTGCAGTGATTCACTTAACCACTGTGGCAAAAAAGTCATAAAATGGGGCAAAATTCACTTAACAAATTTCTCACTTAGCAACATAAATGTTGGGCTCAATTGTGGTCGTAAGTTGAGGACTACCAGTCCCTGCACATATATCGGGTTTAGGAATATTTGTCTGTTTGCTGGATCAAAGAGACTTATGCAGAAAACTACAAATTTCCAAATTCTCTTCATAAAACTTTACAAATGGGAGAGTGGAAGCTTCAAGTTCTCACTAAGATAATGTGAAAAAAGATGCAGAATTTTCTGATTACCAAGATTGTTTTAAAAACTATAAAAAGAATGTGAATTTGTATAGTGTGGATTTTCACAGTAATTTTAAAGGAAGCTTTGACACAGCTCTAGCATTTTTATAAGTGGGAATAGTGAATTATTTCCATCATCCGTTTCAATTTTTTGTGTGCTGCTTTCAACCCAGTTATTTTTAGTTTATACTTTCCTTTTAAAAGGATATCTTAAAATAGTTAATACTGAGGAGGTTTTTATACCACAGTACAATACTTCCTAAACTTGGCTATTGATGTTTTTTTATTGGGTCTTGGAACTAGGGACATACATAACTATATCACATATGTCTACAGATACACAAGTGCATTCAGTGACTGACTATGGCTTAATATCCACAATGGACTTATCATACAATACACTAATGGTTTACAAACAGCAATAGTTGTATTTATATAATAAATAAGCTATATACTGCATGTGATTAACATGTGTGAACCACTACATACAGAAAACACCCACCTTTCTTTACAATCTCCATCTGATTTTTCTGTAGAGCTTGTAGAAGAGCTCAGTTCATCCTCAGTGCAACAACCAATTAAGCTTTTCTTCTGTTGGGGACAATTTTTCAAGTACAAAAAAACAGAGAGAACCATTATAGGCATAATTGAATAGAAAATTCTCTTTCTTGCTGCTCGGTGAAAGAGCAATGTGAATTTAGTTCCATTTATGTTTCTAATAAAATACTTTTATAGAGGATAGTACATGAAAGCATAGCAAATTAGAAGCTACTTTCAATGATGATAATGTTTCTATAAGTATCCTACAAAAGGACATATCAGAACCCCCCTCGGGGAAACTCCTACTTGAGGAAGTCCCTAAAGTCTATGCTGTGAGCTACTTCTGCAGCATTCTTCTGCAAAAGGATGCTTTCATCAATGCAGAAGAATTAAACTACTTATATATACAAAGGAGGATAAGGACCCAAGGCAGCCCTTAGAATAACAGCATCCTTGTGCGGTGTGCTGGGCTGAGAGAATCACCTAACTAGTTTTCATGCCTACTAAAGGCCTATAAAATAAGTCACAATTTCCTATGAAGGAGATATATTTTGTATTTTTGCAAGCTACTTTGATCCACAGGGAAATTATGATCATTGAGGATTTGGCATCCAGATTGGTCTGTTGGAAATAGATTGTATGAGGCTCTGAAATCTGTTCTACTCAAGTATGCCTTTGATGACATTTGTCTAATATTTCTTTTATGACTTTAGTATCTCCGGTACGCCATCCCTTTTCTCTTTGGACAAAAGGTAGGAATTACCACTTTCTGGTCCTGTGAAAACCAAATATTTGAATATAAAGTTTTTGTGATGGTCGGGTGGAATAACAATAGGTCTCCTGAAATGCTTAAGATTTGTTCAAGTGCTCTGGGATTCATAGTCCATTTACCAAGTTCCTGGTCCTCAACTGAACCAATCTCCAGATGCGCTGTGGATCAGACATGTTTTGCCACGAAAGGTAGCACGTTGTCTTCAACCCAACATGGAGGTTTGGCTGCTCCTTTCATCAGCTAATGCTCTTCTTTTAATATTGGCTGTGGTAGTCATATTATACATTAGCAGAAGTTTTAGAAGCTCAAAGTTGGTTATGCTATGGGCAACTCCAAAAAGCTCATATTGCTTTTTAATGCTTCTTCTATCCAAACATCCTGAATTACTTAACCCCAACAATTCACCTACCTCCCCCATCCTGAGACTGGCATCTCTGGTGAGTTGTACTTGGTACAAGGGTCACAGCTCCATTTCATTGGAAAAAGCTTCAAAGACAGCAGTCCCCAACCTTTTTGGCACCAGTTTTGTGGAAGACATTTTTTTCATGGACAGGGGCGGGGAGCGGACAACCTAGATCCCTCACATGCAGAGTTTACAGTAGTATTTGTGCTCCTATGAGAATCTAATGCCTGATGATCTGAGGTGGAACTGAGGCATGGTGTTAGCACAAAGGAGCGGCTGCAAATATAGATGAAGCACTTGCCTTACAATTCTAAGCCCTTTCTTCAAACTTAGTGGGAGGAAGATATGCCCTGCCTCTGCTATAAAAAATGGCAGATTTCCCCAAATAATTGTTTTTCTTCAGAAGTATAATAATCTAAGCAGTAGAATTTTTAGAGGTAATCATCTAAGTAGTAGAAATTCTATGTATTGATGGCTGACACATACCTTTTTTAATATTTTACAATGTTGTAAATTGTTACTATACTTAACATATGACAACTACTTACCTTATCAGTGCTTGGTTCTGAAGTAAACTGAGCAATCTGAATAGAACTGTCTTCCTTTGCAAGTTTTGTTTCTGTCGATGCATTATAAGACATTCGTCTTACAGAAGGCCCTGAAAAGGACCAATGAATAGTATGTATAGTTTATTCTTATTTTGCTTCATACATGTGCTATTATGACAGCAGGATCAAATGCTTGATAAACTAAAATAGACCTTCCTTCAGTTCAGTTTAACATTCAGTCATGTACAAGATTTTTGTCCTGCCTTTCCTCTAGGAATTCAAAGAAGTGTATAATCCTTTTTTTCTCCTACAGCAACTCTGAGGTAGGTTGGACTGAAAAAATTGTCTATCTCAGTGTTACTTATTGAGTTTCCATGGCTGGAGGAGGATTTCAATTTGGGTTCCCTCCATGATACTGTATCTTAATCATTACATCTTAATCCCTCAATCCCTTCCACCTTCTTGTTGATACTTTTCCAAGTATAATGAAGAGGAAGTTTAGTTTCCAACTCCTGTAGATGTGATCATTGTTGCGAGCCACAAAGTATGCATTTCCCAGAAAGCAAATTGATAAAAATGAAACGGAAGGGAATTTGTCAAAGAACACGGTACCAAAGACAACATATCCAAAACACAAACTTATTGTTCAAAGACATGCCTACTTCCAGTCAGCAGATCAGGCTAGTACAGTAAGTGAAGTAGCCCAGAAACTAAAGGTAGAGGCCTTATGTCCCTCTCACTATTACAATATAACAGAATATTCACTTTACAGAGGGCAAATTGATGAGGTAAAATACAGCACCAACATGAAACAAATGAATTTACACAAAAATATCCACATTCAAGAAGAACACAGCAGAAATAAGATTATCCCATCATTTCCCATATTTTCCATACAATATGATATTCCCACCCACCCCCCACACACATACACATTTTTAGACTCAATGATGTTCCTTCCTCCTTGTCATGGTACTTTTTTCTCTGGGTGGTTGTAAATCTCTTAAAAACATTGAGTGTAAACTATCCAATATTTTTATTTTCCAAGATTTCTGCATGCCAGATCCCCATTTAAGTTTTCAGTTAAATTAAGGCACCTTAAGTAATAACTGCAGGAGACAGAAAGAGACCAAAAGGTGCCAAGAAATGTATTTGTGGGAATAATTTTTTCTGTTACAGTAAGCCCCCCTTGAGAGAATTTTTTTTACTGAAAATTTGTCATAGATAAGGTGTGTGCATCTATGTGAATATAAGAAAGTAAAATGTAAAATAGAAAGAGGCAAAGAAAACAAACAAACCACCAGATAAACAATCAAGCAATAAACAAAAGCTTAATCAAGGAACTGCCAAGGAAGAAAACAAACACCTCACCAATCCTGACAGGACAAGCTATTATATAAAAACAGAGAACAAACCACATTCTCTTCTAGCACTGAGAGACCATTAGATTGCTACCAAACCAACCACCAAGCTCAGAGAGCTCCAAGGACTTCACAGCAAAAACAAGTATTACCAGAAGGAAGCATGTCTTCTTGGCATTGCTTTAATCGTCTCCTTTCTCGAGCTGATAATGGCCGATCCTTCAAAAGGAGATAAAGTAAAAAACAGTAAACTCTGTAACTTTTTATTGATTATAGAAATTAAAAATTTACAACTAAATAATAGGTCATTAGACATTTCTTTGTATTTATTCTATAAAACTCATGAAGCCACTTTAAAGAAGTACACTGCTCTATTACTTTGTAATCCCATTTTAAATATCATATTTTTGGAGTATAAGACGCACCTTTCCCCCCAAAAAAAGAGGGTGAAAATCTGGCTGCATCTTATACACTGAATACAGCATTTTTGGCCACCCAAAACCCCACCCCGTGCATCTCGTTTTTTGAAAAAATGGACACGCAGAGGGCCTGTGAGGCCTGCAAAGTGCTCCTGGGGTTGGGGAGGGCAAAAACGAGTAAAAAATGGACCACTTTTTTCACAAAAAAAGGGCTGTTTTGCCCTTCCAAGCCACCAGGAGCACTCTGCAGGCCTTCCAAACTCTCTGCACACCATGTTTTTGCAAAAAAAAAAAAAATGCGCCCTTTTTCGCTTCCCAAACCCCCCCACTCATCACATTTTTGCCCTCCCCGACCCCAGGACCACATTGCAGGCCTCCCAAACTCTTTGCATGCCCCTTTTTCACAAAAAAATGGNGTATGTATAGTTTATTCTTATTTTGCTTCATACATGTGCTATTATGACAGCAGGATCAAATGCTTGATAAACTAAAATAGACCTTCCTTCAGTTCAGTTTAACATTCAGTCATGTACAAGATTTTTGTCCTGCCTTTTCTCTAGGAATTCAAAGAAGTGTATAATCCTTTTTTTCTCCTACAGCAACTCTGAGGTAGGTTGGACTGAAAAAATTGTCTATCTCAGTGTTACTTATTGAGTTTCCATGGCTGGAGGAGGATTTCAATTTGGGTTCCCTCCATGATACTGTATCTTAATCATTACATCTTAATCCCTCAATCCCTTCCACCTTCTTGTTGATACTTTTCCAAGTATAATGAAGAGGAAGTTTAGTTTCCAACTCCTGTAGATGTGATCATTGTTGCGAGCCACAAAGTATGCATTTCCCAGAAAGCAAATTGATAAAAATGAAACGGAAGGGAATTTGTCAAAGAACACGGTACCAAAGACAACATATCCAAAACACAAACTTATTGTTCAAAGACATGCCTACTTCCAGTCAGCAGATCAGGCTAGTACAGTAAGTGAAGTAGCCCAGAAACTAAAGGTAGAGGCCTTATGTCCCTCTCACTATTACAATATAACAGAATATTCACTTTACAGAGGGCAAATTGATGAGGTAAAATACAGCACCAACATGAAACAAATGAATTTACACAAAAATATCCACATTCAAGAAGAACACAGCAGAAATAAGATTATCCCATCATTTCCCATATTTTCCATACAATATGATATTCCCACCCACCCCCCACACACATACACATTTTTAGACTCAATGATGTTCCTTCCTCCTTGTCATGGTACTTTTTTCTCTGGGTGGTTGTAAATCTCTTAAAAACATTGAGTGTAAACTATCCAATATTTTTATTTTCCAAGATTTCTGCATGCCAGATCCCCATTTAAGTTTTCAGTTAAATTAAGGCACCTTAAGTAATAACTGCAGGAGACAGAAAGAGACCAAAAGGTGCCAAGAAATGTATTTGTGGGAATAATTTTTTCTGTTACAGTAAGCCCCCCTTGAGAGAATTTTTTTTACTGAAAATTTGTCATAGATAAGGTGTGTGCATCTATGTGAATATAAGAAAGTAAAATGTAAAATAGAAAGAGGCAAAGAAAACAAACAAACCACCAGATAAACAATCAAGCAATAAACAAAAGCTTAATCAAGGAACTGCCAAGGAAGAAAACAAACACCTCACCAATCCTGACAGGACAAGCTATTATATAAAAACAGAGAACAAACCACATTCTCTTCTAGCACTGAGAGACCATTAGATTGCTACCAAACCAACCACCAAGCTCAGAGAGCTCCAAGGACTTCACAGCAAAAACAAGTATTACCAGAAGGAAGCATGTCTTCTTGGCATTGCTTTAATCGTCTCCTTTCTCGAGCTGATAATGGCCGATCCTTCAAAAGGAGATAAAGTAAAAAACAGTAAACTCTGTAACTTTTTATTGATTATAGAAATTAAAAATTTACAACTAAATAATAGGTCATTAGACATTTCTTTGTATTTATTCTATAAAACTCATGAAGCCACTTTAAAGAAGTACACTGCTCTATTACTTTGTAATCCCATTTTAAATATCATATTTTTGGAGTATAAGACGCACCTTTCCCCCCCAAAAAAGAGGGTGAAAATCTGGCTGCATCTTATACACTGAATACAGCATTTTTGGCCACCCAAAACCCCACCCCGTGCATCTCGTTTTTTGAAAAAATGGACACGCAGAGGGCCTGTGAGGCCTGCAAAGTGCTCCTGGGGTTGGGGAGGGCAAAAACGAGTAAAAAATGGACCACTTTTTTCACAAAAAAAGGGCTGTTTTGCCCTTCCAAGCCACCAGGAGCACTCTGCAGGCCTTCCAAACTCTCTGCACACCATGTTTTTGCAAAAAAAAAAAAATGCGCCCTTTTTCGCTTCCCAAACCCCCCCACTCATCACATTTTTGCCCTCCCCGACCCCAGGACCACATTGCAGGCCTCCCAAACTCTTTGCATGCCCCTTTTTCACAAAAAAATGGGGTGTGCAGAGGGTTTGGGAGACCTGCAGAGTGCTCCTGGGGCCCGGGGAGAGCAAAAACCTTTATTTCAAATTTACCTCTTCAAAATCTTGGTATGTCTTATACTCCGCTGCATCTTATAGTCTGAAAAATATGGCAGTTCTACACAGTTCTGGCAATGTTACATCAGATTAGCATATAAAATGAGAACATTCAAATTGAGTAGTTTCTTAAAAAAGGACACGTTGTACATAAAGATATTTGGTACAAACCTTGGAATGTTCTACTTCAAAGCTTTTTGACTTTTTCAGAACGATTGCAGCACACTGATGGTCTATGTTAACTTCTTTTGTCTTTACAGCAGGCAAAGCGGGCAGTTGCCGAGCACCAAGTGCTGCAATCTTAACAAGGAGAAATTGTGCCTTTATAAAAGGTTTCTTCCCAAAAAAACAGGTACAGTATGAGAGTTGCATTAACTCAAGAATGAGTGGAAGGACTCCACAAGGACAGGTCTAGTGACTGTGCTGGTACCCATTCAACATGACCAATACAGGATATTTCCAGTAATATTTCAGTAACATCTGGAGGACCACAGAACATCCAGCCATGAAGTTAATTCCCAACTTATTAATATTCAAATAGCACTTCTATTTCATATTTCACATGGATAGAATAGAGTATCAAACATCCAGATAAAATAGAGTATCATACATCCCAGACAACACATTATATATTTATCATTCCAGTAAAGTCAAATGTTCTGCCAGTTAGTTCTTTACAACATATGCTACAAATTAACATCAGTTTTTATACTGAAATGTGCTAACATATAAAATAAAGCTTTTTAAACTGAACTTTAAATTGAATATACTTGGTTAATATAAATATCTATGGAAACTAATGGTGGGTTTTTTTATTTTTAAAAGATTTAAACAATTGTTCCCCGCCTCCCCACGGATGCATGTGTCCCTCCCCTTCACCCATTTTTGGCTTCCAGGTGGGTGTAGGTGGCCTTCCATGCCCAAAATGGGGCGTGGGGGGACCTTGCATGGCACCCCTACACTCTGTTTTGGCTTCCAGGTTGTGCAGGAGGCTTTTCAGGCCCAAAACGGGGCACGGGGAGGGGCTCACACAGTGCCCCCATGCCCCCATTTTGGCTTTCAGGTTGGTGCAGGTGGCTTTCCAGACCCAACAAGAGGCACGGGGGAGCATGTGCATGCGTGCAAACCTCCAAAATGTAATACGAGCACCCCTCGCACATGCGCCTCATCCCCCATGCATGTGTGTGCATCCCCCACATGCACTCTGCCCACACACAAGTGCGGCAGAGACTTGAAAACCAGCTAGCTGGCGGTAGGCACGCGCACATGTGCACCGGAGCTGGGATGAGGCGATGGCTGGCATGCCCACAGAGAGGGGTCAGTGTGCCACCTGTGGTATGCATCACAGTTCTAGTATCTCGGATGCCTCAGAAGATGAAAATGCTGCTGGTCAAAACTATGTTATTCTAACTATAAATTTTGTCACTAAGTTACCAACTGGTCCAAAGTCAATATCCCTACTTTCACCCATTTTTTTTCAATATCATTATCTTTTTTCCAATTTTTAATGTTGGATTTCCTCATATTTAGCATGGGGGAAAGTATTGAATCTGTTTTTATTGAACATTCCATTCCATAGCTTTGTAACTAATATAAATGTTTCCACAGATATTAGTGTTCTACTGAATTTAGATGCTAATATTTACCTTGTCTAAGCAGATCTCAAACTGTTCCTGCTTCTTATGTCGTCGCTGTCGTGACAAGGAAGGCTCTTGAACTGATCCTTGAGGCCGAAAACAAGGAGTGCTTATAGGCAGAATGGGATCTTTAGCTTCTCCTGAGTTTTCACAGGAGGCTTCACTCTACAAATATATATATATATATTTATACACACACTTTACAATACTTGAATTCATACTGTCCAGAATCAAGTTTATACACTTAGTTCAAAAGTGTTAACAGAAAGCCAAAAATATTTTTATTTTAATCAAAATTAAATTCACTTAAGTACTGAAGAAAATCCTGTCATCGTACTTTTAAATAAATCATTGGCATAATTATATTTGTGTTGCAGACCACAAATTTCAAATACTTACCAAAATTTCTCTAGGATCAATCGGTACTAGCAGTTTCTCAGTACAGTCCAGATTCTGGAAAGAGAGTTTGCTGTATTTTCATGAATACCCACTATTATAACATTAAATAGAATGTTATATAAGCATTAGGAAACTGGAAGAGCAACATTTCCATTATTGAAGGAAGTAAAATAACTATTAGCTAGGCACTAAACACAAAAGCTGGACACTTAAACTAATACTGTATCATTTACCTAAGGCTAAACTAATAAATAAAGAAATGACAAACTACCCTAGAAGATGTTAATTATAAACTTTTTTGTAATATTGCAAGGAAAACTACTGTATGTGAATATCCTATATGGTATGTTTTAATCTAACATACTTCTGATTAATTCCAGCAAATATTCCAAGATCTGGAAGGTGTAGTTTTGGGAAAAATAGGAGAAGAATGAGTATTATGTATTGTATATTTGTTGCCTTTCATTATTTATAAAAATTAACAAGGTGCGACAAAGATATAAAATTTAAATTTCCATATTTTTTGGAATATAAGACACACCAAGGTTTTGAAGAGGCAATTTTTTTTAAAAAGTAGGTAGGTAGATAGAGGGAGGGAGAGAGAAAGAGAGAGAAATACAGTAGGGAGGGAGGGAGGGAGGGAGAGAGAGAGAGAGAAATAGAGAGAAATAGAGAAATACAGTAGCTAGGTAGGTAAGGAGAGAGAGGGAGTAGGTAGGTTGGTAGGTAGAGGGATAAAGAGAGAGAAATAGACAGAGAAATACAGTAGGTAGGTAGGGAGAGAGAGAGAGAGAAATAGAGAGAGATAGAGAGAGAGAGAAATACAGTAGGTAGGAAGAGAGAGAGAGAGAGTAGGTAGGTTGGTAGGTAGAGGGATAGAGAGAGAGAAAGAGAGAAATACAGTAGATAGGTAGGGAGAGAGTAGGTAGGTAGGTACGTAGGTAGGCAGATTGAGGGGGGGGGGAGAGAGAAATACTATAGGTAGGGAGAGAGAGTAAGTAGGTAGATAGAGGGAGGGAGGGAGGAATATAGTAGGTAGGTAGGGAGAGAGAGAGAGTAGGTAGGTAGGTAGATGTTTCCAGGTGTATTTATCCATGTGCTGGAGAAGAAAATCACTGACAACCTGCAGCACCTAAGACTTTGTTTGTGCTGGCACAGCACTTGATCAATGTAATTCTCACCAATCAGTTAAATAGCTTTCCAAAAGAAAAAAAAAAATTTGCACTCTGCAAACCTCCCAAAATCGGCCCCATTTTTGTTTTAAAAGGCATGAATAGCTTTGGGGGGAGGGGGCTTGCAGAGTGCTCCTGGGGGTGGAGGGGCTAAAAATGAGCAAAAAGGGCCCATTTTTTGTGAAAACGGGCCCGTTTTTTGTCAAAAAAATTGCATGCATAGCCTTATGGAGGTTTATAGAGTGCTGCTGGGGGGGGCAAAAAACGGCCCGTTTTTTGCTCATTTTTGCCCTCCCCAGCCCCCAAGAGCTCTCTGAAAGCCTCCATGAGGGTATGCACAGCCATTTTGGTGAAGGGGGTGGGGGTTTGGGAGTCAAAAAATGCTATATTCGATGTATAACCCGCACCCAGATTTCAGCCTCTTTTTTGAGGAAAAAAGGTGCGTCTTATACTCCGAAAAATACGGTAGGTTTATTTGTTTAAGTTCAGTTTGCCTATTTTAGGAAAATTGTGCAAAGGTCCTTATCAACCTCAATAGTTCTAAGCCCCAAAATCTGATCACAAAAGGTTCAGAAATCTTTAGATCTGAATTGCATTGAAATAAGTGCATAAGTATTCAGTTAATAGTTCTCTAAAGGTAAATAGTACAGCACAATTCTTTTACCTAGAAAAACAGCTATCACTTTCACAAAAATGATATTATCTGATAGAAATTAAAATGAAATTAAATGCTGAGAGTAGATTTGGGAAGGCAAAGACAAAATACTTGACTTTTCAGCAAAAAAATCTGAGGTTGAGTAGGAAAAGTCTAATCAGAAGAGATGCTAAGGGAGAGGTGAATGCACAATTTGCAAGCTAATAATAATTAGCTATCTTAATAATTCTCAAGTCCTTAGTTAGAGTTGAATTATTAAATTTCTACTAGTCTTAGACTGGGAATCTAACTGTAACTTACCTATCCATAAACCATAACAATAAAGCAACATTTGCCTATCCCAGGTCCTTGGGAAGGACTTGCTTGGTGGATAAAAATGCCAAATCCAATTTAAACATCTGGCCAATTATATGACACAACATAGTATATTTATGCTGCCCACATATTTGTATAGCAATAAATTTCTAAAAAAAATCCCAATCAATGGACACAATTAATAAATATAGTATTAAACAGCGTTACTACATTAACAATGAATCATAAAAAAATCCGAGACTACCAAAGCACCAATATGTCTGATGTACTGTGTCCCTCAAACACCTTTGTGCTCTAGAAGAAATCTGCACTGCTTTACCTAAGAAGAAAAAGAGCTGTTTCAATAGAGAAAACCAACTAATAGCACAGGGTAAACTTATGTGTCCAGGTCATGACACAAGCTTAGCACTAGGAGTTACTGAAACAGCAGAAAGCAGCATTTCAGAGTTCAATCACATTTTCAACAGATTTGCAGGCAGTCCTTGACTTAAAGACCACAACTGAGCCCAATGTTTCTGTTGCTAAGCAAGACAGTTAAGTGAGTTTTATTCCAATTTATGATGTTTCTTGCCATAGCTGTTAAGTTAAATCATTGAAGAGCTTAAGTTAGTAACACAGTTGTTAAGTGAATCTGGCTTCCCCGTTGACTTTGTCAGAAGATCGCAAAAGATGATCACATGACCCCAGGATACTGCAACCATCATAAATACATGCTAGTTACCAAGCATCCAAATTCTGATCACATGAGCGTGGAATGCTGCCACATTCATAAGTGTGAAAAACAGTCACTTTTTTCAGTGCCATTGTAACTTTGAACATAAAGAAATGATCGTAAGTCAGGGACTGCCTGTACATCTTCTAATTCGATCATATTCACACACACATATACATATATGAAACTGAAAATAATTACTTTATTGCTTACACATGAAATCTTTGAAATGGGTTGCAGAACGTTCGTAGTGTCATCACCATTATCTGTCTCCTTAGCATCTACAACTCCAGTTTTTGGGCAAGTCTTTGACATTTTCAGTAAATTTTCTTCCTCTAATTCTAGGCCATTTTTTGCTTTTTCAGGCTCTGCTTCATTGGGAATATGTACATTTTCAGATTCTTTATGTTCTGCTAATTGTTTGGTTGCAGAGTTTTTCTTTTCCAGTGAAACAATAAGTATATCAACTTTGCTCATTGTTGCCAAAGAGGCATCTAAGCTATTCAAACCATTTTTGCTGTTGTCTTCAGGTTCTGGTGCTAGTTTCTTTGAAGAGGAAACTTCAAATGTTTTATTATTGATTAAACATTTATCTTCATTCTGTAATATCAAGAAGTACAATTAAGTCACCAATTCTATTAAACTAGATTATTTATTTTAAACGTAAGCATAAAATTACGGTAATCTATTTTGATTTGACTTGATCCAGCTATGAGATTTTGCATGGGATTGGATGGAGGACTGGGGAAAGACATGACATGTTTTCCTAGAATGGTATAATACAGGACTGGCTTAGCCAACAACAATAACAAAAGACCTCTTAGTCATATGGGAAGTGCACAAATGATGGAAAAGGTCAGTCATACAGAAGCCAGGATGTTAGCCTGCTTAATATTTCTTGCAATAGCCTTAGTTGGTGTGGAAGTGGGTTTCCCTGTCCTTATTTACAGGATGCATTGAAGGCTCTGTAGGTCCAAGACACATGAAAAGCCAATATCTTCGATCTATGTTGGTTCAGGTCTTTCAATCAGGTATCTGACCAAATATGCAAAAGATGGGATATGGTATTTCAATTTATTAATCTTACATTATAAGACTATTACAGTATTACTGTAACAATATGTTATAATGGGCAGGTATAAGAACTTAAGACAAGAAGAATATATTGGAATTACTTATTAATTCCAACTCGCTCCCTGTTTTATCAAGCGATCACTAAGGGGTCTAACTCTGATTATCATGAAGTAGCACCAGAAAGTATGTCTATCTTTTTCTCTCATATTATTTCCCCATTCCCATCTTCCACAACATAGCTATAGTTATTACACAACCACTATTAGAAGCATTGTACCACCTGTTATTGTTTATTTTATACAACTCTCTATAGAATTCAATATTTACATTAAATTTTCCATATTCCCGCAAAGGAAATCATCAGATACCATTCTGGCTGAAAATAAGATATTGTAACATGCACTGTAAAAAACAAAAAGGTATTCTATCTTCTACTCATTTAGGGGTTCTCCAAAGATTTAATTTTACTATTCTAGAGTAGACCCATGCCTTATAGGGGTAAACCACTTTGTGAAGAACAAGAGACAAACTTCACTTTTGAGTGGCATATCAGGGCCTGAACTTTGAACAGTGTATTAGCACAGGAAAAGGAACAAGGTAGAAACTGAGCAAAATTTAAATTTATTTTAAATGGAAGCAGTTAATTCATTAGTCTCCATGGTTTTCAGAATTTTCTTCAGTGACATGTAAATTTCAATTCAGTGGCAATTTCTGTAGGTTTGGTGATGCCCAACACTTTAGGGCAACTGACACTGTACCTCCAATTGAATAGAATTTAAATGGGTATGATTATGAGAGAAAAAAACAGATGGAAGTACTAAGAATTAATTGGTATTCTTCCTCCTTAATTTGAAACAAAATTTGTATTTTATTAAATTTGACCATGGGCGTTTTTTCTGCCCCATCCATTCTGGATACCAAGCGAAAATAATAACTTGCCCCATTGGACTTCTTTGAAAGTTCATTTGGAAGCTTCTGAGGTTCTGTAGTTTCTTTCTTTAATTCAGTTTTCTCTGAAGATTCCCAAGGTTTGGGTTCAGATACTTTCTTATGATTTTTAGATGTTTTTCTTTAAGGAAAAAGCAAGAAGATATGTTATCAGATTTACAAAATGTAGACTTTTTGCCAAAAAATAGTTTTTTCATATTTCTATGTATAGGTTGACTTTTCTGAAGACCTGAATGTGCAGCAATATGGATATTATTTTAGATACAAAACTGTTTCTCAAGTCATGAACATTTGTGAAATATGATTTAATTAGCCATTAATTAATTAATTAGCCACATCTTCAAGAATGTGTTGGTTAGATCAATAGGGCATCTAAATCCAACATCTCAAGAATGGCGAAAAATAAAAGTATTACTTCCTATGAAACCCCATCATTGTTCTCATTTCCCCTGTAGCCCTTGGATTTATTTTCTGTACTGCAGTAGAGGTTTACCCTACTCTGCACCAAACTCGAGGGGCAGTCAATGAAGATTAACCTTTTTTCAATATTTAGTTGCTTGAAAACTTTTTATAAAATTCTGGGATATGAAAATATTCTTCAATTTTGAAAATAGGTTTAGTTAGATCTTTGCATAACAAATAATTGAGGCACAACACAACAAGAAGTAAAAAGCACCAAGTATTTGAAATAATTATGAGCCAATGTGATATAGAATCAAACTGATGCTGAAGATATTATAGAGCCCCTGAAATAAACCCATACACTTTTTCTTAAGCCTTACACTATCACTCACTACATCACTGCCTTTTGTTAGAGCTAACTCTAGTACTGATCTAGTTGACCTTTGAATTAAACTGAATTCTAAGAAAATAACAATCAACTTGTAGACCAGACTAATTCCATATAAACACTGAGGGATTGAAGAGCTCCAAATAAGATAGGAGATGGCTTCTTCCCCAGTTACTATAGTTAACCTATGCCTGTGATGGCGAACCTATGGCACTCATGCTAGAGGAGGCATACAGAGCCTTCTCTGTGGGCATACGCACCATTGCCCCTTGTACATCTGGGTTCCGTAACGTGCATGCGTGCCAACAAGTTGGTCCGGCATGCATGCGCACGTGGCCAGCTACTCTCTTCTGAGTTCCATCACACACATGCGCACTGGCCAGCTGCTCTTCTCTCATGTGCACAATGGAACCTAGAAGAGAGCGGCTGGCCATGAATGCATGCGCACCGTCGCTAGCTGCACTTCCAGGTTTCGTCAGCTGGCCAGCATGCATGCATGTGACGTAACCTGGAAGTACAGCTGGACACCGTGCACATGAACACTGGCCACCTACTCTCTTCCAGGTTTCGGTGCTCTGGCACACTCTCTCTCTTGGTTCGGCACTCATTGTCAAAAAGGTTAGCCACCACTGACCTATGCCATTCAATTTCTATCAGCTGATATTTCAAATTGATGGGGATACACAACTGATGCTTGGTCACAAGCAAGACAGCAGCAAGGAAGCTGGCTTTTGGTTTCTCTGTATTTCTAATTCTTCACAAGGGTCTCAGCATCAGCACCTATAATATTAGACTGCTGCATATGGATGTGATCCAGTCTTCCAACAAGTCACTCCTATGCTCACTTTGGACTTGCATAAACTTTTGCTATTCTCCAACTCACCAGGAATAGCTATCTGAATCGCCGAGAGTTCCATATGAGCAGGAATCAGGGTTGGTGGCTATCACTAATACAGAAGGAGCTTTGATTTGGGCTATAACACAAACTAATTCTATCTCTGTCTCTCTCTGTCTCCCTGTTTGTATAATAAAAATGAGCTGTGTTTCCAAGTCAACCTTGTCTCAAGAATCCACTATCAAAGACAGTATATGAACTCCAGGATGGTGTAATACCAATAACACTAAACACTGCTTCAAATTATTTTTCATTTAAATATCTCTTACGCCTTTGTAGCTTCCAAAAACAGAGAGATTTGCTGCTTGATATACGGTTGCCTCAATATGTTCCTGACACTGGGTCTCTCCTCTGGCTTTTTACTAAGCATTGTTCTTATCAGTTCTTTCAACTGAGTGCTATAATCTTTTGGCATTGGTGGCAGCTGTTAAAAGAAGAACACAAGAAAAAAAGAGCTTGAAAAGCATTTGGAAGCTTCAGCTGATGCAGAATATGTTGTAGCATGGAGAATTAATGGAGTTACTCAATGCATAAGACACCTCTGCTTTACAAGCTGCGTTGGCTTCCAGGTGCTTCAGATTGCAATTCAAAAACCTGGCATTTATTTTTAAGGCCTTGCATGGCTTGGGATTATTACTTTCAGGACCCGAATTATTTCTACTCATCCCACCCAGTTTGGCAGGAGCACATTCTGGGCCCAATCAGCTAAGGAGTGTCAACTGCTGAGAACCTTTTCTTCCATGGTGCCTACTCTGTGCAATATCGTTCCTACTAAAATTAGATCGGCTTCAACCCTGTTGATTTTGCATAAACCCTGAAAACAATTTTTGTGCCCAGGCCAGGGCCCCCAGATGTGTCATGGAGTCATTCTCTTGGTTGTGGCTGATGGTTTTCATTTTTTGTTTTGTTTTTTATGATGCTTGGCTAAGTATTTTTATTTTTATACTGTGCCTTCTATGTATTATATTTATTTTATTGTAAACTACCTGGAATATGTAAGGTAGATGTCCATATAAATTGAATGAAAGAATGAATAAAAATAAGTCATGATGGCATTTGGATGCTGCTTTCTTTTTTTAGAATAACACTAACAATGTTTTATGATGGTGCTGAATAACAGGTACTTACAACTGGTTCTCGAAGTTCCAGACTTCCCAGCACACCCATGGTCACATAATTGTGATCTTGCCACCTGACAACCAGCTGGCAGTTATGACAGTTGCAGCATCCTGGTCATGTGATCACAATTTGCAACCTTCCCTGCCAGCTTCCCATAAGGAAAATTAATGGGGCAGCCAACAGGGAAAGTATCTCTCTTCTTGCAACAACCATTCCCAGACCCCACACTGCTCACACTGCACCTCGCTAACCCCTTGCACATCTCATTGACTTTGCTTGTTAGAAATCAGCAAGAAGTTGTGAGGAGGTCCTTGCTTAAACACACACAATCTTCACTTAACGACAGCAATGGAGAGTCATATGCTGTTGAGCTATATTACCACATCACTTAGCGATGGAAATTCCAGTTCCAATTACCATAATTAACCAAGGACTACCTGCATAATTGCTAGGGAACCTAAGAGAAAACATGGGAAGATTTTCCTGAGATATACTCAAAGTCACTACTCAGGAAATTTAACAGATGTGACTATCAGATTAATTATATGTTCAAAATCTAAGCAACATGTAATATTAGTATTTGAAACAAACTGTTTTTGAAATAAATTGCTTTGTATGATACTACTACATTCATCCATGATAAATGTGTTTTGTGCCAACACAAAGAAAGCAACATTCATCAACTTACCCAATATTTGCTACCAATTGGTTATTTGGGAATATCCTTGAAATTGTTCATTGAAAAGGATAGCATTAGCCATATTTAGCAGCACACATTTCAATATGACTTGCAAGTGTTTTTATCCTCTATGTAGTTTTCTCACAATAACAAATTGTAAATTCTTTATGTGAAGGGAGCCTAGTAAATAGTAGATAAAAAATATACCTTTCCTTCAATAATTCGATAAACCAAGGAATTCATGTCTTTAGCATTAAAAGCATGCTTCAAGGTGGCCATTTCATATGCACAGCAACCCAAGGCCCAAACATCAGACTGTAAAAGCAAACAAATCACAATATTTATTTTAAAGCCATCCAAATAAAATCACATGAGGTACGTTGCCTGCACAATCTATTTCACAGGTGTTCCTTAAATCAAATATCTTAATCTGTCTTCTTGTGTAGTGAACTGACCAAAGTTTGTTAGAAATTGCTGTCAAACATTATTCTATCTACCTACCTACTTAGAGAGGACAATGCAACGTTTGAAATTTCTGACGTGGTTCCCATTCCAATATATCAAATTGTCTATTTTTGTTCCCTCTAGTTCAGGGGTCCCAAACCCACAGACTGCTCCCCACTACTGGGCCGTGGCCTATTTGTAACCAGGCCACGTGTGCAGCAGGCTGGCAGGCTTGTGTCCAGCTGTGTGTGCATGCGTACGCCAATGTTCCCTCTAAGCAGTGTGGCTGCATGGCCGCGCACGTGACAAGAAAACAACACACAGCAGTTTCCAACTGCCACGCAGTGATTTTTAATGTCACAGGCACACTGTGATGTACAGGAGATCTAGAGAGAATACACTCCTCTGTCTGCCTTTCAAAGGAGAGGCAAGTGTTGTCAAGTTGGAGCTTTGGGCTGATTTTATGTGGGGATTATTAAATCTTGGGAAAGGGAGGACGGTAGAAGGAACGGGGAGTTTTTCAGACTGGGGGCCTGCGTAGTTTTGCTGGTAGTGTAAGAAGCCAATTCCATCTTAGAAAGCTGCAGTTGCACGAGTTCATCTGAGCAGTTGCTGCCTTTACAATATTTTGCATTCAGCTTCCCTGCACACATTCTTAGGATTTTTTGCAGGATTCAGACATTCAACATCATCTTCAACTTGTATTTATAGGGGGGCTTCTGCTCTCTCGTACCATTTCTCCAAAAGAAAAATCTACGAAGAGGGGCACAGACAAAATATTGCACCTGCCTTTTCCTTTTCCCTCTAGGAATTCAGTATCTAGAAGTGAAGTAATCTTTTCCCCTTCCTCCTTCCTTCCAAGCTGAACTTCTAGCTTAGCTAAAGCTTTTTCTTTTGCTCCGTTCCTTGCGGTATTCCCTGTAGGGAAAGTAGAGCAACTTTCTGAAGGAACTTGGTGCACTGAACATTTATGGGTTGAGGGAGGGATGCCAGTTAGGTTTATAAGTGGGAAATGAAAGGAATTGTGAAGAGGGATAAAGTCAACTGGAAGGCAGCACCCTCGATCCAATGTGGGTGAGAATTCCTCAGTCTTCATTTCAGAAGAGTCTCTGCAGGAGTCTCTCTTATCATATTGGAAACAATTTGATTCCCTTGCAGTCCACATAAAGGATGATAGCTACGGTCTTAGACACAGAAAACCAATAACATGTCAATTGGCAGCTGGATGGAAATTTTAACATGCAGAGACACTATGAAGTTGATGTGGCAGAGTAAAGGAATTCTACATGTTTTATGAAAAGAACAGTAGAAATTACACTGGACACTGCAATGGCTGTGTTAGCCGGTTGCAAAGGTTTACTAACTTTTGAGTATCAGTGAAGGTATAACAAACCCAGCAGTTTTCATAACTTTTGTCTAATTTGAGTGCAGAATAAATCATAGATGTTAGTATGCATAGGATATCTAACTGGCATTTGAAATACTGCTCAGTGGAATGAAATTATGTGCAATATTGTGTGTGTATTTCATATGTGCAATAGCTATTGAAGTCATATGTCACAATTAGAAGTTGCATCTTTACAAAACCTAAATGCAAATCAATTTTTCTCAGTACCTTGGGATATTTTTGATTTTATTTGTCATCCCCCCCCCCTTTCTTTCTTTATGTCATTTAACAGATTCTATGACAAGTATGTGTACACATGGCTTTGGGAGCAGTAAGACTGCAACAGCAGTTCTAGGTTGTGGTCTTGCAGTAGTATATAAAAATTGATGCAGAATTTATTTTATTTACTGAATTTGTACATTGCATTTCAAAATAGGTAGCTGTCTTTCATAAGTTGGCTGGGAGTAAAAAAATATACACTTTTAATTAAGCGGGTACCTTGAATAAACATAACTCTGAGTTTCAAAGTTTTTGATGTCTTGGATGACATGTGTGAAAAAAAATAAGGTACTCACTGCTGATGTATGAAAATGTGCCGCTCAAACACTATACTTTTCCGCGCACACTGAAAAAAAATAGAGGGAACATTGGCGTACGCACATCGGTCTGCTACTTCAGCTGCCCGGTTCCCCTCTCCCTATCCCCAGGCTGTCAAGCTGCAAAGGGACTGCTGCTCTAGATAACTACCATACTTATAGATACAATATTTTTTAATACAATTCACTAGATTTATGAAAATAATGTAAACGTTTTTCATAGAATCAAGATAGATACATTTGAAATAAATTGCAGGGAGTAGAATGGAAGGAATATCAGGAAGATTCATTAGAAATTAACAAATAGGACATGTTTCAAATTGTTGCAATATGGAGCATTCAGTCTTCCAGACCTTCCACCAGTCCTTCTTCCAAAATAACCCATCCCATTTAACCTATCCAGCAATTTTTACTTTTCCCCTCAAAAGACAATCAACATTCTAGGCTCACTATGCATATTAAATTTCCTTAGCAGTTTCTGCAAAGTTGGGAATGTCTTTGCTTTTTCTTTGCAAAGTTTTTCTTTTTACTTGTTTTTGTTTTCTTGTTCTTGTTTTCTTGCTACACGTTTGTAGTTTCACTATAAACAGGTAGCTGCAAAAATTCAGAGGACCACAAGGATAGCAAAGAAATACAAATCATTGACTCTCTGCTGCAATTTATTGGTTGTATGATTGCTGGCCGCCCAGATAGGGTGTGTTTAACTGGCAATGCCTCATCTCACGAACAATGTAGGCTGGTTACTTGAAAATAGAAACCTAACAGAATAAGTTCATTTATATGATATACTTTACCTTGTAATTGTAAGGCTTGTTAGAGAACAACTCAGGGCTCATATAGTAAGGAGTGCCAATTAGAGTACTAGCCATATCATGCTGATTATCCAGCACTCTGGCGATTCCCAGATCTCCCACTTTGATAATATTAGAACGTGTCAGGAAAACATTTTGAGTTTTGAGATCTCTATGCAGAATGTGCTTCTCATGCAAATACTGAAAAATAAAATATTGGAATTCACAAATAACATATCAAGTTTATTTCCCGCATGACAAAAAAAAAACCAATTATTTAATTAACTATGAGCTCCTTGCAGAGGGCAGGGAATACATTAAATAAATCTGTCAAGCTGGGTAGCCATTATTACCAATCACATTTTGTTGACTCCTTAAATATTAATAAGATAATAAAAGTATATCAAGAATATATTCATTATTTTCTATGCTCATTACAAATATCCATGGAAACTAGCAATAGGCTTCCTAGAACACATTAGAAAATGATAAAACAATTAAAATAGATCACTGCTAAAATTCAATACCAGAATTGTCTAGTAAAGGGAAGTGAGATACCTGCAGTGCCATAGCAATCTGAACAAGCCACTCCACCACTTGAGACTCAGGAAGAAGTTGTCCTTTCTGCTCTTTCAGTTTATGATATAAGTCCCCTCCTTCACAGAAGCCCATGACAATGTACAGCAAGCCATTATCTCCTTCCCAGGACTCTCTATAGGTGACTATGTTTGGATGCTTCAATTGTGACAATAGCTGGGCTTCCTGCTCTGCTGCTTTTCTCTCACGGCTTGAGGCATGTTTAAGGTTCAGCCTTTTGATAACATACTGCAGAAACAAAAAAGTTTTATCTTTTTTTTAAAAAAAGAATATTACTGTAAATGAAAGAAATCTAAAGATAAACCACATGGGGCTGTTTTGTACAAACTTGGCTAACACTATTAAAATTACCACATGTGAAAAGAAATGAGTTTTTTAAAATAAAAATCCTCCCATCTGCAAAAGCAACATGTATGAAGGAGGAAGAGAAGGATGCAAGAAACAAATAAGTTTGAAACTGTATATAAAAAGTAATTGCTATGTAGCCTGATAATATATGTCAACCTCTGTCAGAACTCTAGCCGTAGCATTATCCACTAGGCAAAATTTTACATTTTTCAAGGAAAGCAAATAATTTTTGCAAGTAGAAAATACAACACCTTAAAATAAAAGTAACTTTAGGATTATACAGTTAAATCTCCATTCAAGGAAAGGACTCTGTTAATACTGTATGTTAGCCAAAGGCATTTCTCACAGACATATTCTCTCTAGGGACCAATAAATGTTCCAAGAACATCTCCACACTGCCAGCCTGATTCTTCAAAAATACAAACTATATCACAAATCCCAGAATGACATGTCTGCCGACATACAGAACCTTCATTTAATTCACACTGCATTTAATTTAATAATTTAAATGACACTTGTTTAAAAAATTTCCTGTACTAAATTTGATATCTTTGTTTTAAATATATACTTTGGAATTAGTGTAAAAAAGGTAAGACAATCCTCAGTTTTGAAATGTAATTCAATATTTTTTTCGTGAATACTGGATGCCTTAGCATATGGCTTGTCTTTCAAACATCATGCTGGAAATGTAAAATTGATAAGGCACACTGAATGCATATAAGAAAAAGTTTATTTCACCGTTGCCATTTTTTTACTTTAAAATATTTGTTATTTTCTTTGTAAGACCAGAAATCAATAAGGTTTTAAAGATGTAAGTGAATTGTTTAATGATTTATCAAAATCTTGGAATCTCTATATCAAGAATTGTGGACTGGTTTTCTTCTCCTTTAACACATATCAATTTTATGTATTAGACACAAAATGAAAAAAATATCCTGATTATATTTTCAGATTATTAATAAGCTCTAACTTAGGTGTCATCTAAAGATATTTTAACTAATGTCCTGAATAAAATCTGTTCTTGCAAGAAAAATAACATTTTGGGATGAACAGAAAAATTATGGAACTTGGAAAGAGTCACCCTTCTTAGGATAAATCTATTGAAAACTGAATGATGAGGATAGAATGGGGGAGAATTGTAGCTCGAAAGCAGAACAAACCAACAAACAAACAGGGGTATCCTTGATAATAAATTTCAAAATGACAGGGAGGAATAGAATAGAATAGCAGAGTTGGAAATGATTTTGTAGGTCAAAATCTAGTCCAACCCTCTGCTGAAGCAGAAGACCCTATACCATTATTGACAGATGGCAGTCCAATCTTTTCTTTAAAACTTCCAGTTTTGGAGCATTTACAACTTCTGGAGGCAGGTTGTTCCACTGATTAATTGTTTTAACTGTCTGGAAATTTCTCCTTAGTTCTAGGTTGCTTCGATTAGTTTCCACCCATTGCTTCTTGTCCTGCCTTCAGGTGCTTTGAGGAATAGCTTAACACCCTCGTCTTTGTGGCAATCCCTGAGATATTGGAACACTGCTATCAGGTCACTCCTAGTCCTTCTTTTCATTAAACTGTTGTTATTGTTAGTTGCCAAGTCGTGTCTGACCCATTGTGACCGCATGGGCAATGTTCCTCCAGGCCTTCCTGTTCTCCGAGGTGGCGCAGTGGTTAGGGTGCAGTACTGCAGGCCACTTCAGCTGACTCCTCCAGGCCTTCCTGTTCTCCAAGGTGGCGCAGTGGTTAGGATACAGTACTGCAGGCCACTTCAGCTGACTGTTATCTGTAGTTCAGCAGTTCTAATCTCACTGGCTCAAGGTTGACTCAGCCTTCCATCCTTCCGAAATGAGGACCCAGACTGTGGGGGCGATATGCTGACTCTGTAAACCGCTTAGAGAGGGCTGCAGTAGCCCTATGAAGCAGTATATAAGTCTAACTGCTATTGCTATTCTCTACCATCCTCTGGAGTCCATTTAAGCACACGCTGGCTTCGGTGACTCTATCCAGCCACCTCATTTTCTGTTGTCCCGTTCTTCTTTTGCTCTCCGTCTTTCCCAGCTTTAGGCTCTTCTCCAACGAGTCCTTCCTTCTCATTAAGTGGCCAAAGTATTTGAGGTTCATCTTCAGGATCTGGCCTTCTAAAGAGCACTCGGGGTTGATGTTCTCTAGGATTGACCGGTTTGATCGCCTTGCAGTCCTGAACTCTTCTCCAGCACCATAGTTCATTAAACTAGACATATCCAATTCCAGCAACTGTTCCTTATATGGTTTAGCCTCCAGTCCTCTAATCATCTTTGTTGCTCTTCTCTGCGCTCTTTCTAGAGTTTCCACATCTTTTTTTTTTTAATAGTGTGGTGACCAAAACTGGATGCAGCATTCCAAGTGTGGAAAGGATGGTCGATCCTATTTTCACACGGAGCAACGCCTGTTGCTGAAGGAAAGCTCCACTTTGTGGCGCGGAGTTGTTTTTTAAATTCCCTTTTGGTCG